CAAGCAGCTCTCTCCTCGTCACACAGTAATTCCTCTCAGGTTTCGACAATGTCCGGCTGTAGTACCCGATGACTTTTTCCTGTCCGTCGATTTCCTGGGAAAGGACGCCACCGATGCCGCACGCACTTGCGTCTGTGTCCAGAACAAACTTACCGCCAGGTATAGGGTATGCCAAAATGGGGGCTCTGCATAGCATGTCTTTGAGCTTTCTGAATGCCTCCTCCTGGTCGTTGCCCCACTGAAACCTCTGGCCTTTTTGCGTCAAACGGTGTAGAAAGGCGGCGATGTTGGCAAAATTTTGGACAAATCGACGGTAGTATGTGCAGAGACCCAGAAAGCTTCGCAGCTCATGGAGATTTCGGGGCTGCGGCCAATCTCTGACGGCTTGAATTTTCTCCTTATCCGTCGATATGCCCTCCGGCGTCACGTGGTGCCCCAGGAACTTCACCTCTCGTTGGAAGAGACTGCACTTCTTTGGGTTCAGCTTGAGGCCTGAAGACGAAAGCTGCTGTAGAACATCCTTTAAGTTCTTGATGTGTTCGTCGAAGTTGCGTCCCATGACTATGATGTCATCCAGGTATATGAGGCACGACTTCCACTGCAGCCCTTTTAACACACGCTCCATCAGCCTTTCAAATGTAGCCGGGGCGTTGCAGAGTCCGAATGGCATGACATTGAACTGCCAGAGACCCCCATTTACGCCAAACGCTGTTTTCTCCTTATCTTTCTCGGCGATCTCTACTTGCCAGTACCCACTCTGCAGGTCGAGGGTGGAGAACCATGACGTCACGGCTAATGTGTCCAATGTGTCGTCGATTCTTGGGAGCGGATAGCTGTCTTTCTTGGTGACATCATTCAACTTTCTGTAGTCCACACAAAATCGGGTGCTTCCGTCTTTCTTCTTGACCAAGACCACTGGGGAGCACCATGGACTTGACGATGGTTCTATTACACCACTCTTTTCCATTTCACTTATCAGCTTCTGAACCTCGTCTCTTTTTGCCAGGGGAACACTTCTTGGAGGCTGTTTAATGGGTCTCGCGTCTGCTGTATTGATTTCATGCTTCACCACTGATGTTCTTCCTTGGTGCTCTTTTGTCAACGCAAAGGTAGAGGCATATTTCCATAATAGCTGCTTAGCCTTGTTCCTCTCGGAAGGTGATAATTGGTGTGTCCACTCTTTTATGTAGCCGTCGAGGTGCTTCTTCTCCATGGCAGCTGGCTTTTCGGTGCTAGTTTCCAAATTAACTACAGCTTCAGCTGGTGTGCATTGTCCAACATCGGAAAATTGGCAAATTTGCTCTTGCTTGTTTGACAGGTTCAAAACTCTAACAGGAATTAATCCGTCCTTGTTGCTTTTCACCAGGGCATTCGCTATTAGGATGTTACTGCTTCTGTTTTCTGCTGGTTCCACCACCCACAACTTCTCGGCTCCACAATCTCCATTCATTGGTACCCATATTATTGCTTCGGCACAGGGCGGTATTATCTCTGGATGGTCCGTGGTCAGACGTCTAATGGGTGTACTTTCATCGTAGCCCACGTTTAACGGAATTTCGACGTTAGACCAGGTCATCACACGTTCTTTCATATCCAGATTGATACCAAAGGCAATCATAAAATCTGCGCCTATTATCACTTCGTCTACGATATCGGCAACTATAAACTCGTAATTCTCCGATTTATTGGCAATAGTTAGTCTCAGGGTAATCTTGCCGTGTACTGCCGCGGGCTCCCCCGTTGCTGTGCGCAGTCTGACTCCATTAAGTTGCGTTATTTTTCCCTTTACCAGATCTGATCTTACGATGGACTTTGATGCGCCAGTATCTAACGTCAGAACTCGCTTATCACCATTGATGTACCCAGTTGTTTTTAGGTTGTGACTTTCCTGTTGTACTATTGCTATGGAGATTGTGGGGCCATCGTCGATGGGAGCCAGTTCATGTGACTCATTGGTGGACTGTTGGGCCATTCTTCTACCATCTTTCGTTGGAGGTGGTGACGATGACCTGGATCGTTTGCGCTTAGCTCTGCATTCGCGCGCAATATGACCTGCTTTATCGCAGTTGTAGCATCTAACCCTGGGCTTAGTCATCCCAACTAACTTTGTCTCTTCTATTACTCGCCTCATGGCGTCTTCGATCGAGTTAACGAGAGATTTGGGTTCGCAACCTTCGGTCTCCAGTTGGCGAATCTTGTGGGTCTGGGGCTTAACAACTATTCTTGCCGTCTCTTGGGCAAGGGCAAACGACACAGTTTCGGAAAATGATGCTTTTGGTGACGCATATGTTGCATACTTAATCTCAGGGTCACGTATGCCATTCACAAAGGTTTCGATTTTCATACGGTCCAGCAATGGGTGATCCTCTCCTGGATACGTCATTAGCACCAAACGTTCCACCTCAGCTGCAAAGTCTTGTAACGTCTCGTTTGCCCTCTGCACTCTTCCCCTTAATTTCATAAGGTAGATGTTTCGTTTATGTTCGCCACCGTACTTACGTTCCAGTGCAGCAATAACATCTTCATAGTTGTTTCTAGAAGCGACAGGAATACTCTGTATAACATCAGCAGCACTGCCCTTCAATGCCAGAAGTAGTGCAACCGCTTTGTCGCTGTCGTTCCACGAATTTCTAGAAGCCACTGTCTCGAACTGTAACTTGAAAACATTGAATGACGTAGAGCCGTCGAATACAGGAGGTTTGATTTTTAGTGTGTTATCAGGAACTCGCACCGGACCACCTTTGATTTCCAGTTCCGAAATTTTCTTCTCCAGATTTGTAACACTATGGTCGTGGGACAGAAATTTCTCGTCAACCGACTGTACTTTCTTATCCAACTCTTTAATTTGGACCTCCACGGTTTCCATTCTCCTTCCAATAACTTCTGTAATGTACTCGAGTTTCTCGTTCGTTATTCTCGAATTTTCTTCGAACCTTCTGAAATTTTCCTCAAACATTTTGGCTAGCATTTCTCTGAAATCGTCACCCCTGGCAGCTACTGACGAGACTTCCCCACCGTTGGATTCGCCCATTTCCGATAAATCCACTTCATCCTTACTGTCAAACTCATATGTATCGATGTTCATACCACGGCGCTCGAACTCATCCAACAGACGTTTTTGTAGTTCAGCCTTGTTGCCAGTAGAGGACAATTCCAATTTATTAAGTTCCTTCTTCAAGTCTTCCACTCGTAGATCCTTAAACTTCATCGTAGTATTATCGTAATCCCACTTCTGACACCAATTGTTACGTTCTTGGATTTTACTTAATCCCGTGTAGACGTTGTTTTATTTCCCAGTACAGCTCGTACCAAATAAAACGCGGGTTCTTTCGGATTACGATTATTACAATGATTTTATTCACACAACTTTACTTTGCACTTTACTTTACTCGACGGTTTCAATTCGCGATCTGATTCACAACTGAATAACTGCCTTTCCATTTCCCCTATTTATATGAGCCTCGCCTGTCGCTACAGAAGTTTCTAGACGATCTGGTAACGCCTAGATTACGAACAATCTACCAATGCAACGAACACATACAAACTTACATTGAGTGAACAACAACACATACAAACTTACATTGAGTGAACAATAACAACAACACATACACAGGCGAGGGGGTAACAAAGAAAGAGGAATTAAGCGATCATCAATGATGACGTTTAACAAGAATTGTACGTCAGCAACAAAATAGAAAATGAAAGAGGAAATGGAAGGATGTAGAAAAATCTATACAGTAGTTGTTGTTGTGAAGTTATTCAAATAAACTGCGTAGTAGAAATTTACGTTACAATTCAAATTCTTAAATTAACGGAATTCATCTAAATTAACTTAAATCTAAAGTTATATTCGTAACAATATGTATATGTTTTGAAAGGATGAGGGCACCAAAAGAAAAAAAGTTGTATTTATGGGGTAACTTTGTTCTACCTTTTGTAATTGTGCCATGCAGTTACCTATCCCATATGGCCATGGACTGTTCCAAAGACTTCTGTACATGACTATATGTGTATATATTTTTTATCTTCTAGACTACATCTTTTGTATTTAGTATTTTTGGAAAATGTGACGAATATAAACGAATAAGTGTGTATGGGACAGAAAAATAGAATAAAGTTAGTCACACCCATGGTAGAATGAAATCAGAGCCAAATTAATTTTAAATCCATTTAATTTTTTAATCCATTTATTTTTATAGATATTTTTAAATATTTTTGACATATCAATGTTGCCCAGTGTTGATATATCTACCTGTATTCTTCTACCAGGTGCAAACCATGGTAGAATTAAGCATGGTACAATAAGGAGGTAGAAAAGTTTCGTAAAACTAGAGAAATACAGCCCTGAGGCTATGATCGCTTCCTGTCGTAATTACTCAAAATTATATGCAACAAGTTGTTTTTATTTATTTCGTATTATTTGTTTATTTTTAAAATGAGTCAAATTGCGCGAAAGATGAATGAAATGATTGGATGTCCTCCAAAAAATATGATCCTAAGTGATCAGTCGATCAACTCATTAATGCGCGCCCCACAATTAAAGTTTCTTCCAATCATTGAAAACGAACGTTTGCGATTGATTTCGATCACTCATTTTGCCGGAAATATATTGTCGATCGGACTTAGCATGGCAGAAGAATACAGGTAGATGCATCAACGCTTGGGAGCATTGATATGTCAAAAAAAAATTAAATGTTTTTTCAAATATAAGTAGATTTTTATATACTTTCATATACTACGTCATTCGGAGGCTATTATAATTCGCGTTTTCAACAATTTTTACAAATTTAAATAATTTTTCATTCAACATTTTCAATTCCAAAATTGGTTTGACAGTTCATTGTCCAAACAGCTTTGTCGACGCGTCTACCTATATTCTTCTACCATGGGACTTAGGAATCTTTCTTGGCTCGTTTTGCCTCTTACAGACAAATGCATAAATCTGATACCACAATGCAGTGTAAGTTAAAAAAAAAAGTTATATATATATATGTACATACCTGGTCAGTGGCTTCGCCCGAACATCGTGACAACAGAGCCAACATAGCTGTATGGGAGAACAAGAGGGCGAAACATATCTGGAGAATATTCAATGACATCTCCAGCTGTGTTGTAATTTGAACAAAGAGGTTGTAAGTTGTTGTTGTAATCGAATAGAACGAGTATCCCATGTAGACGACCAATATTAGACTGCAACTCTCGTTGACGGATTTATAAAGGCGCAGCAACTTATTGTACATGCGAAAGGCAAAGAGAGAATCTTCCGGAAAACTGCTCATAGGAGGCGGCAATGTCGCCTGATCCTTAGTTGGTATGCGAGTACGAAATCTTCGCGTCTTCTGTTGTTCCTTGTAAGTGTAACCGTTGATAATGGAATTCAGATAGGCGAAGCGGACAGATAACAATCGCAACAATATCGACGAATAAACAATGAATATAGACGACAAGGCATTTTGAATGGAGTACACACTAATGATGACGTATGACGTGACAGTTAATGGTTCGTTTATTAGCAAAATCTTCAGGAGAACAATGTACCACTGAAAAATCAAAATAAGGATGATGAACTTAACAGCAAAGCCACAATCGTTGACAATGGTGGCCGAAAATTGTTGTTGTATTTCTTCGTCCACTTTAAGCGTTTCGTTCAGTATCTTTAGAAATGCTTTGGAGTTCTTTGAGCATACAACGACGGTGGTAGTATATGTGACGATACACAACAGAATTTCTATCCAATAGTTGATGTTGTCCGTTTCGCGATACGAATAGAAAAGTTGATTGGAGCCCCCAGTGAACAACATGTACATGTTGAAAATAGTCATCGCATGCACCATAAAATGTATTGCAATGGAATATATTCGATTTAGGATTTTAGGCGGACCCAGCTCATAGGCGGTCAATGTTACATAGAGTGGCATCAATCCAGTGGCCTTCAGGATGACGAGTATGCTTGTAATGTCATTGAGAAAAGTTTTCGATTTTGGGCTACTGCCCATGGAATCGTCCAAGACAATTTCATCGTTCTCTCTTTGTAGTGTCGGTGATTGTTTAATTTTCGATCCTTTCATGCTAACACTTAGCGGTCCGGGGCACATGATGTGTTCGGCGTAGTGAAGTATCCTTTAATGTTGAATTCAATTAACTGTCTACGTTCTAGAGATACCCTTAAGTGTAGAGTAGATTAGAATAATGTATTGTATTGGGAATTTAATAAATAATTAAATATTATTACGTGTATGTATATATGTATGAACACACACGTATGAATTAGGGTGGGTCAAATAAAATGTAGTTGAGAAAATATTCAAAAATCATGAATTATGATGAAGCAAAATTTAATACCATTTCTAATCACTTTTATAGATATAATTTGTGGGTCTAGGGATATCCAAATGAAGCATTTCATTTTTAAATGCCAAGAAGTGTATGAAAACAAGTTGCTTGAATTAACCCTGATAATAGACCAATCACAATAAATTTAAAGTATGTTATATATATTCAGTTTAATTGCGATTGGTCAATTATCAGGTTAAGCTGGGTATTGGAGGTAAATTTTAAATAAAAACGAAAATGAGAAAATGGGAAATTTCTGGAGTTATAAAACTGTTGGCAAACTGAAAGAAGTTGTTCAGGTCATTCACTATTACTCTTCTCCCTGACCATAACTCCACTTATGACAAGTGGAGTTATGGTCAGTGGAGTTATTGTCTATCAAGGTATAGCTATATAAATAAATAATTACAAGATTCATACAAAAAATAAGGGAGAATTAATTTCGAAAGCCCACCAAAACTTTCACAACCAAAGCGATGTCATTCATTTTACCTACGTGTACTTTAAAAACTTCCCAGCTAGTGATCCAACAAGTAAGAAAACGTTAAATTAAGTCGGGCTAAACAGTCAATACCAACAACAATGATGCAAAATACAACATTTATATCTTGATTGATATTGGAACGTGTTCGACTCTAAGTTTTACAATTTTTATTTGAATTTTTTTCTTTTGGTGCCCCTATTCTGTCAAAACATATACACTGCTTGTATATATGTGTGTAATGTTTTGAATAAATACAAACAACAAAATGTGTAATTCTTGGATTCAAATTTGATTTGTGGGTTTTCTCCTATACACTAATTTTGTGAAAAAAAAGTAAATGATTATTAGGGCTCCAGCACAGAGTTGCATTTTCCTAATTTCTTCAGCAACCTTTTTTATTGAGAAATGATAACATCTCTCGAAAATTATCTCATTTAGTATATAATGTTAAATATAAAGTAGAACTGCTAAATATGATTTAAACAGATTGACAACTATCTAGGCATTATAAAGCTAGCTCTTTCAAAATGAATTCGTTCCATCACCACTACCCTTCTTCAAAAAGGTAGAAAAATGCAACTCTTTACTGGAGTCAAATAGACTATTTAAGCCTAATTACACATTTTGTTGTCGGTTAACGTGGAAAATATTCACTTCTGTTGACTCTAAATTTGAAATAATTTAAAATTATTTTCAGTTCTTTTAGTTTAGGGTTTTAAATGATAAATGATGAAGATAAACAAATCGTATACGGTAATTGCAGGTAAGCATGTTATGTGTGCATTTGCTCGGCATACGATTAGGCCATCCGACTGTCACAGAGACTCCCAGGGCTAGGGATCTCAACCCGCCAATCGAATCCAACACACTAACATTGAAAGGGGACTTTACTACAATTGCTCTACTCTACGATATACAAAATAGGAGTCATCATACAGGGATCTCGGTGGATCGATCCCACACTCGCCCACCCTACCTGGATCCAGTATTTCCATTTCTTGCGTTTCTCTGAATCCCCTTGAGCCACACGCTTCGAATCACACACTTACTTCATACCACCTTCCCCCCAAGCTATACAAACTTAGCAACACATATTAGTATCTACTGTTTACAAAAGAATCATTTTTAATTTTATTAAAAAAAATAAGTTAGCTTTAAATATTTTCTTAATTTTTTTCTCTACTATTTTTTTTCTTACATTAAAATTGACAAACTGTATGGTATAAAAAAAAACAAATTAAGAATAATACCGGGCTTTCTTAAATCTATGGCTTTAATTACTCGGTAGAAACCAATATATTATCCTTTGCCTTGCTTTTCCCGCGCAATATTCACGCGTCTATACGAAATTACTAGCCACCTAAAAGAGCTCTCTTAACTGGCCTAATTGCCGCTAAAATTCCACGGCCTAAACTATCAGATCGAATCACAAGGACTCAAGATAATTTTACTGTAACACCTCCTAGCCTTTGAAAATAAACGCGGTATTTTTCCCTTACAGATTGATTATTACTTAAATCCTAAGAACTATAACCTATCTTATTACCAAATTTTTATACTGAATATTATAATTTTTTTTGTTACTCGAAATTTATGATTATTAACTCTTTTTTTTTTTCTTTTAGTTCCAAAAAAGGAGACAGCAAATTTTATGGACGTCACATATATATATATATATATCAAGGACAACACAACGGTAAGACACCTTTTACCTGAGCAGTGATTTATAACGTTATTGATTAATTCTTCTTATCTCTTCTTCCAGTTTACGCTTCTTTCCGGAGGAAACAGATTTTGAACGCCAGGCAAACCCTGAAATGAAGCTGGACTTGTTGACTGGTCCTTTTACAATGCCGGCGTTCTGGGCGGGATCAATAACAGGCACAGCAAAAAGCTCAAAGTTGCAGCTGGCCAGTTTACAATTCAAATCTCCACACCCTCAATGTAACTTTTTTTGGCTTTTTTCTCCTGTGGACAACTTGCCACTACCTTGCGTTACCAAAAAGAAAAGGCAATTTCCCGCCGTTGTGCTGACCAAAACCGGACAATTTTCGGTGCTTCCAAAAAAGCTTGATACACCACCGGGATATTCACAATAAAAAAATCGCAACACACAAATTAAATTTTTCCACTTCTTCACTGCTCTCTAGCTAAGTTTCACCGGTAACGTCTTATTCTTAACTTTCTTTTCTTATGCTCGCAGCCTTTTATACCCCTCTTCTCAGTGAATCCCGCCAGACGCTCATTTTCCACGAAACACCATTTTCCTGAGCCATTTTCAATTTTCATTCCTTTTTCTTTTCAACTGTCAATAGCCATTTTTTATTCTATTGTGAATTCTCATTTCAGCTCACCCCGGAGTAGTAGTAGGTTCCCACCTACTCAGCAATCATAGGGCTGCCTAGTCACTTCTTAGCCTGAGTCACCCTGTCATTCACTACCTTTATAATACTCTTTAACTCAACCCTGTTCGAGCCTAATTTCGTACGTAGCGAACCCTATCAAACCATTTCCGGCATTTTGATCCCATCGCCACCCAGACTACACACCCCGCAGAAATTACAAGCAAATTGAAATCTCGAAGCATCCTCACCATCCTCACTAAAAACCCAAGAAAACTGAGCAAATCCATTTGAGGACCAATTATGGGATGCACTACCAACAGAATTGGGATAATTTCTGCGGTGGTTGTGGACAGGTTTTGCCAAAAAACACGGCCCCATATATTTGTTGCCTTTTTGCGCCGCATGTGAACGGCCTGCAACAAAACTTCAACTTCGGCCACAAAATCGAGGACGGAGGTGATGTGCACGGCCGCATTACTCATTTACGTGGGGACATCCCACTCCCTGAAGGTCTCATGCCGGGCATAAGCTCCGAACAGCAGGCTGGTCAAAGCCCTCCCCCTCATGCTGGTAAATATCCCCCATCGAAATAGAACCACATAAATTAATTTATTTTTCTAATCTGTCCATCAGATCTGTGAAACATGTCTTGCTAGTTCGCCTGATAATTCTCGATCCGACACCCTGAAAATATCGTGTCACTACCAAACATCGATCGAGTTCCGAGTCCGGGAAACTCGCTGGTAATTCCCCTATAGCAGGTCAACATTTGGGAAGATCAAAAACGCTCATAAATTTTACAATACGCATTCGGTTATTTATAAAATCCCGCATTCAGTATTTCTACTAAGACAAGTTCAGAGGAACGGATGGGATTTATCGGCCCACTCCTTTGGGACCTTCACTACAAAAAGGTAAACATCCGGAACAACCCAATAATTCTACCAACCCAAGACCTTGTGTGGAGTTGGAATATATTTGTCCTCTCTGGCGGATCCACACTGGTAACACCCAACAGCTCTAAATGAAAAATTCTCCGATTTCATCAAAATTTCACACATTCTTCTTGGTTATGGATATAATCTTCAAAGTTGGAATCTATACGTACTTTGATACACAAATAATTTGATCAAATTATTGAAATCATGGTACAATAAAAAAGTAAGGTAGATCTGAAAGCTGATTACAATTTTTTTTTCCAAGTGTGCCCGACTTCTGTCATTATTGTGTATTATTTGTTTTGAAAATAAAAAAAAATATTTTCAAGGTCAATGTTTGGAAAAACGAACACTGCGTGGCCGGCGTTCAAAATATTACCCTGTTTTGTCCTGGAATTGAAGGATTAAACAGTTTTGATCACATTTTTTGAAAAAAAATCCGTGCGTTCAATAACGCATTCAAAAAAATAACAATTATCAAAACATTTTGTCGCATACAATTTTGAAGTATTTTGACAGAAAGCGGGCATAGCCCTAGGAATGTATTTCGGTACTTTTTTGTTTGTTTTGAACATTTAATAACTTTCATTCCTTAATAGGTGGTGAAACATTTTGCATGCGGAAATATTTGTGCCTATGCCTGTCTTGTCGTCGTGGTTGCCGAAGAACGGATTTTGTATGCGGTATTTGCTGATGTGATTGATAGGTAAACAAATACCATAATCGTGGTGTCTACGTGATTGTCTGGTAGAATGTAGTTTTATGTATGTTCGCTTTTTATGTATGGGAATCTTTCATTAATTTATGCCGGAATAAACCAGATTGTGCTATTTTTATCGCCACCGGGTGTGTTTGAGTAAAATTTTTTTTTTTTTTTTCAAATTTGTATGTCGCGTAGAATATTTTGTAAAAGAAATTAGACAGCTGTGATAAACGTGAAACTAGAGTCTGATTACTTTGAATTACCCAATTAGGGGAACAGATCAGCTGATATTTTTGAACCTTAATACGAATGAATTCAGTACGAAGGTGATTTTACTATCGTATTTAGTTTCATCAGACACATTTTCTATGTTTTGTTTTGATTCATTCGATTTTGAATTAAACAATTGCTGATAAATGTGATATAGAATTGGTACCAAATGTGAAATAGTTTTTGAAAGTTATTTTAGAATTCTTTTTATAAAAATTGAATTGGGAAAGGGGATTGAACAGACTTTCTTTTCCACTTATCTTTTAAGATCTTTTGCATGACAGATTCCAATCGCCTTTCCATTTAGATCTTCGAGAGAATACATATTATTTCCTATGGGCTTTACTATACGACACTTCGTAAATTTCCGGGCAAACTTAGCATTAAAATTTTTCCCAAAATCGCTAAGAACATAGTTTCTTTTATATACCTCTTGACCCGGAGAGAAAATAATCGTACGAGCCCTTGCGTTATACCTTTTTGCGCTTTGTTGATAAGCCTGATGCATATTCTGTCTAATTTTATTTCGGATTAGTTCCATCTTGTCGTTACGATCTAAATGTATAATTTCATGGTCCGCCAATGAGTGGAGCTTCCGAGCTAATTTATAATCTGAACCATGGGTGTACATACTATGACCAAACAGCGCGAAAAATGGCGTTACACCAGTTGCAGTATGAATCGATGTTCTTAAGGCGCACTCTATGTCTGTTAGATACAGGTCCCAATCTCTGTGGTCATTTTCTAGATATGCCCTAATCGCCGCCAATACTGATTGATTGACTCTCTCAGATGCATTAGACTGCGGAGCATATGGAGCTGTTTGGATATGATTGATTCCATATGTTTCAATCATGTCTTTGAAAGTTTTAGATACGAACTGTGCCCCATTGTCGGAATGTATCGTCTCGGGTACGCCAAACTTACGAAATATATCCTCAACCATAAATTTTACCACATTGGAAGCTGTTGCCTCTTTCATTGCCTTAAGAAATGTAAATTTGCTAAAGTGGTCCACCACTATAAATATAAAGGCGTTGCCACTTTTAGACCGGGGGTATTTCCCGAGGAAGTCAACGTAGAGTTTCTGGAAGGGAAGATTTGTCACGACTTCATTTCCGATCTGAGGCTGAGTATTTTCATTGGTAGGCTTTGTCTCTTTGCAAACAGTACATTTAGACACATATTGCCTAACCTGGGATACCATTAGAGGCCAGTAATATTTTTCTCTTAAACGAAAAATGGTTTTTGATATGCCTCCGTGAGCTGACGTAGTTTTATCATGGGCTTGCTCTATTAAAGAATGGGTCAAAGACTCTGGGACCCACAATTTCCACTGAAACTCTTGTGTTTCTGGGTTATAGGACTTGTGATCTCTTTTAAATACCATATTGTCGACAATCTTTAGATCGGGGAGATTCTCCTTTTTATTTGCTATAATTTCTCTAAGTTGTTTGTACGAATCACTTTCAAACTCGGTGGTCTCGAATTCAAAAACCCGATTCATGTCTATTTCGTCGGCATTGGGTAGGCGGGATAGCATATCGGCGACAACATTTTCCTTTCCTTTTCGGTGCTCGATTTTGAAGTTAAATCCCTGAAGTTGCAATGACCAGCGAGCTAAACGACCACTGAGGTCCTTTAGACTCATCAGCCATTGTAAACTAGCGTGATCTGTTATCACGGTGAATTCCATTAGCTCCACGTAAGGACGGAAAGTTTTGATAGCCATCACCGCCGCCAAGCATTCCTTCTCTGTCACGCTATAATTTCTCTGACACTTATTGAGTTTTTTCGAATAGAAAGCGATCGGATGCTCATGTCCTTCGGCATTCAGCTGAAATAGAACAGCGCCGATGCCATATTCCGAAGCATCACATTGAATAAAAAAGGGTTTGGAAAAATCTGCGTGGCGTAACACCGGTGCGGAAGTTAAGGCCCTCTTTAAGTTTTCAAATGCCTCCTTTGCCTTTTCCGTAATTACGAATTTGGGCGATTTCTTCAGGGTATCAGTAAGGGGAGCCGAAAGTGACGCGAAGTCTTTAATAAATCTTCGGTACCATCCTGCTGTACCCAGAAAACTTCTCACTTCCCTAGCACTTTTGGGAATGCTAATTTTTCGAATTGCTTCTACTTTTTCGGGGTCAGTACGCAACATGCCTTCTCCAATAATAAATCCCAAATATCTCAACTGACGAAAACAAAATTTTGACTTGGTTAACCCGATTGTTAAACTCGCTCGGTCAAGGCAATCGGCTACTTCATTCAATAGACGAAGATGCTCGTCGAAATCACTTGAAATAATCAACAGGTCGTCCAGGTACACAAAGACATTCTCCTTGAGTCGTTGGGGAATGACTTTGTCCATCAGTCGACATAACCTTTGTGCAGCATTACACAATCCAAACGGCATCACACGGAATTGATACAATGGACGACCTGGGACCGTAAAGGCGGTGTACGGCTTGCTTTCTTCGTCTAATTCGATTTGCCAGAACGCATATTTAAGATCCACACTGCTAATGTAATGAGTTTCATCAATGCGACTTAGTATTCCTTCAATGTTTTGCAGGGGGTATGCGTCCTTGACCGTGAGCTTATTTAACTTTCGAGCATCCAGACAGAAACGATTTTTTCCGGGCTTTCGTACGATAGTTGTACGATTGCTCCAAGGGCTTTCACTTTCCTCAATAACATTAAGTGCTAACATATTATCGACTTCTTGGTACGTGATAGCTTGAACCGCTGGAGACATTGGATAGTGGCGGTCTTTAACCGGTTCCGCACCTTCCACGAGCTTAATCGAATGCTTTTCTAAACTAGTACAACCTAGCCCATTTTGTTCAAAGGTCTTGAATTTTTTTACTATGCATTTTAATCGATTCTCTTGATCATTTGTTAACTCGTGAGGGTTGAGTTTGTAGTCGGGACCCGTAGCAGTCATATCCCTGAAAACTTTTTCTATATTAATTTCAGCAGCTCCTATCACATCAGGGGCTAATTCGAATGTTCGCCAGAAGTCTATTCCAAGATATAGTTCTTGTTCCAATTGAGGACATAGATACAGTGTCATAAATTTTTCCTGCTCTTGGTATTTTATGATGGCTTTAATTTTCCCTAAAACATTATACTGTGTACCTCCGGCGGTGGTTACCCTGCTGGACATTGGTATAATTGGAATGCCAAGTTCTTCTATTATCTCTCGGCAATTTTTCCCTAACATAGTAACCGAAGCGCCGGTGTCTAGGAGCCCATTCATGATTTTTCCTTGCATACTGATTTCCGAGAAAACTCTGGGATCTGAGGCAATACCAGTCACTCTCGAAATAGTTTCTATCAAATATCTTCGCTGCTCACGCCACTTCTTGGATTTTTGTCTCAATTCAATAATTTTTTTCGGGATTACAGTAAACTCTGAGTTAAAAATTCTCTCCTTGACCTTAGCATAATTTCTTTGGCGATCTTCTAATGGAATGTAATGCCTCTGACCTGCAGAAAAATTTTTCGATTCTACACTACTCTTATCTCTAAATATATTATCGTTGTTTTTTATTAAAATTCGGACGTTTTTGGGTGCTAATTCTTCCGATTCACAGGGTTCTCTGACGGGTGTGTTTCCCCTGTTACTTCCACACCCCTTCGGGAGTTTCCCTGTTGACAGACAGGACACTTTGGGGTTACTGTGTCCGGCTTCCCACACCTATAGCAGAACAATTTCCGGACTTCTACTGGACAGTCCATAAAAACATGCCCCTTTTCTCGACAGTTCCAGCAGATAATTGGAACTCTAATGTGGCTTTGTATCCGGATAGCTGACAGCTCTTCACCAATATTCTCCTCCGGTACTTCTACATGCTTTTCATAAATTTCATCATATATTTCATTTACTTGGCGGATAGGTCGCTGGGGGAACGTTACAGCTCTATTTTCGCGCCTAGGGAAATTTCTCTCAGCTTCAATACATTCTATTCGTAGCTGTTCAACCGACGAAATGGTCATCTGATATACATGTCGTTTTATATCTTCACGTATATTTCCCCTTAGGATCTTAATCATTTCGTACTCGTAAATAGGTTGAAGTAATCTAGATCGCAAAATTCCCATCTCGTGAAAATAACTATTGATGCTTTCATTTGGCCTTTGTTTCCTTTCTAACAAATCCCTGAGTATGTCGAATTTGGATTGTGGGGTTTGATACTGGCTTATCAGCGCTTCTTTAAGACCCATCCAATCGGTGTAAACATTACTTTGTCTATGCAGCCAATACCATTCTCTGGCTTGACCAGAAACCAGAAAGGCGAAATCCCTCAACACTTCAGACCATGGAATGTTATATTGAGCCTGCATGATCTCTAACCGCTTAATAAAATCCATAACTCTTAAGCCTTTCGGGTCACCACTGAAATTTAAACCAAGTTTATCAACTCGTATTCCTAGTGGTTCCACTCTAAACGTATTCGTTATCGGGCCAGTAAATTGATCTGATAATGGAGTTTGACTAGCACTCGGAAATTGGATAATTGGTGGCATATTCCTATTTACTGCGTCATTATTATTGTTTGACGTCGGATTAGCATTACTATTTGTAATAGAATTAGAGGCTATTGTAGCCGTTGGGGGTACAATTAATTGTTTACGCACAGTGTCGGATAGTTCTCTCATGCCTTTTGATAAAGAATCTATCATTTTCTTCACATCAGATATTTCTGTTTCGACCATTTTTTTAACTTTATCTTCCAATGACTTCTGGACAGACGCTGCTTCATCTTGTACTAGTCCATGTAAGTCGGAAGTAGTTGGACCATTATTATTCAAATTATCACTCACTGTTGGCACATGATTGGTGTTCTGATCTCTTCGCATTATCGTGTCTGCTAGATCGATAAATTGCAAAGCACTCATGTTCCTATCCTCATTCGCCATTTCGTCCGACCCTATTCGTCTTTGCTTACTCTGCTCTGGAAAATAAGTCGATCGGTTTAGGTCAAAATTTTCGGGTCTGTCTCTCTTATTTCTTTTACTATTGCGGGTATTGTAGATCATGACCTATACCCAAAATTTATCTTCTCATTTGTTATCAATTGAATCTCGGACGAAACCTTTTCTTGTAAGTAAGTTTTAAATTCAGTTAACCTTTTTTTTTTAAATATGAAACATTTGCAACACAAATACTTTTTATAAATACATTCAATTACAATTACACATACAAATTTTCAAATTTGATAATTACAACATAGATCTACGGGGGAAGTGTAATTTTCAGAAGCAGTGTGTGTGTGGTTTTTTTTTATTTATTTATTTTTTTATTATTATTATTATTTTTTTTTTTTTTTTTTTTTTTTTTTTTTAATAATAATTTTAGTGCCCTTTATGAGGTGTATGACTTTTCCCTTAGACATTCTTATACTTCTCATAAATTATAGTGCTTTGTTAACTTCGGACCCATGACATATCTATTACATTTCATAAATGAAAGCTCAGGGTTTTTATATGCAATACTAAGATTTTTGCATCTCTCAGATCAAAATCGCTATTGCTGCTACTCGATGTACTTATTCCTGTCTATAATTTATTTGGGTTATTTCACAAAAACAAATTTTAACAGTAGGATTCTCAATACAAATTGTTTTATTCCAGCTCGGAATTACAAGCTATTGATTACACCCTACTTAGAACAGTGGAGAAAACGTTCCCATAATATATTTGATATAGTAATATCGCACTTCGTAACCCATCTCTCTAAAGTTCGGATGCATACTAATATCACAGAATATTATTTGTCAAAAACATTTTCTTTTGTCTATTTAAAATCTACTAGCATTCTATGGCTGTGTGCGTCGATGTTACTGCACAGAGTTACTAACCTAATATCACAGTTTAACACGGCCATGTTTGAGTCGCCATTTTTGACAGTGGTATCAGGTACAATAAAGCTTTATTTTAGAATATTGGGCGCCATCTCTGTTATGTGTGCATTTGCTCGGCATACGATTAGGCCATCCGACTGTCACAGAGACTCCCAGGGCTAGGGATCTCAACCCGCCAATCGAATCCAACACACTAACATTGAAAGGGGACTTTACTACAATTGCTCTACTCTACGATATACAAAATAGGAGTCATCATACAGGGATCTCGGTGGATCGATCCCACACTCGCCCACCCTACCTGGATCCAGTATTTCCATTTCTTGCGTTTCTCTGAATCCCCTTGAGCCACACGCTTCGAATCACACACTTACTTCATACCACCTTCCCCCCAAGCTATACAAACTTAGCAACACATATTAGTATCTACTGTTTACAAAAGAATCATTTTTAATTTTATTAAAAAAAATAAGTTAGCTTTAAATATTTTCTTAATTTTTTTCTCTACTATTTTTTTTCTTACATTAAAATTGACAAACTGTATGGTATAAAAAAAAACAAATTAAGAATAATACCGGGCTTTCTTAAATCTATGGCTTTAATTACTCGGTAGAAACCAATATATTATCCTTTGCCTTGCTTTTCCCGCGCAATATTCACGCGTCTATACGAAATTACTAGCCACCTAAAAGAGCTCTCTTAACTGGCCTAATTGCCGCTAAAATTCCACGGCCTAAACTATCAGATCGAATCACAAGGACTCAAGATAATTTTACTGTAACACCTCCTAGCCTTTGAAAATAAACGCGGTATTTTTCCCTTACAGATTGATTATTACTTAAATCCTAAGAACTATAACCTATCTTATTACCAAATTTTTATACTGAATATTATAATTTTTTTTGTTACTCGAAATTTATGATTATTAACTCTTTTTTTTTTTCTTTTAGTTCCAAAAAAGGAGACAGCAAATTTTATGGACGTCACATATATATATATATATATCAAGGACAACACAACGGTAAGACACCTTTTACCTGAGCAGTGATTTATAACGTTATTGATTAATTCTTCTTATCTCTTCTTCCAGTTTACGCTTCTTTCCGGAGGAAACAGATTTTGAACGCCAGGCAAACCCTGAAATGAAGCTGGACTTGTTGACTGGTCCTTTTACAATGCCGGCGTTCTGGGCGGGATCAATAACAGGCACAGCAAAAAGCTCAAAGTTGCAGCTGGCCAGTTTACAATTCAAATCTCCACACCCTCAATGTAACTTTTTTTGGCTTTTTTCTCCTGTGGACAACTTGCCACTACCTTGCGTTACCAAAAAGAAAAGGCAATTTCCCGCCGTTGTGCTGACCAAAACCGGACAATTTTCGGTGCTTCCAAAAAAGCTTGATACACCACCGGGATATTCACAATAAAAAAATCGCAACACACAAATTAAATTTTTCCACTTCTTCACTGCTCTCTAGCTAAGTTTCACCGGTAACGTCTTATTCTTAACTTTCTTTTCTTATGCTCGCAGCCTTTTATACCCCTCTTCTCAGTGAATCCCGCCAGACGCTCATTTTCCACGAAACACCATTTTCCTGAGCCATTTTCAATTTTCATTCCTTTTTCTTTTCAACTGTCAATAGCCATTTTTTATTCTATTGTGAATTCTCATTTCAGCTCACCCCGGAGTAGTAGTAGGTTCCCACCTACTCAGCAATCATAGGGCTGCCTAGTCACTTCTTAGCCTGAGTCACCCTGTCATTCACTACCTTTATAATACTCTTTAACTCAACCCTGTTCGAGCCTAATTTCGTACGTAGCGAACCCTATCAAACCATTTCCGGCATTTTGATCCCATCGCCACCCAGACTACACACCCCGCAGAAATTACAAGCAAATTGAAATCTCGAAGCATCCTCACCATCCTCACTAAAAACCCAAGAAAACTGAGCAAATCCATTTGAGGACCAATTATGGGATGCACTACCAACAGAATTGGGATAATTTCTGCGGTGGTTGTGGACAGGTTTTGCCAAAAAACACGGCCCCATATATTTGTTGCCTTTTTGCGCCGCATGTGAACGGCCTGCAACAAGCAAATACTATTTATTGAATTAGTCTTTTAATATTAACTAAATATATGTACAGTCCAAACAATATAGTTTATGAGAGCACTACCTTACTTATTATGACACGCAACTAGTTGTTATAAAGACTGCTTTCACAAAAATAAACAAACGTTTAGATTAATTAATTTGGTATCACTTAATCTTTGACCGATGAGCCATTTCGTTACGTGACTTCATTTTGAAATTGGTTTGTTAATGTCTTTGTGTATTTGTTGAAACATTGAGAAACGCTGTAATAAATGTTTGTATGAATTGCACTGTTTTTCATGTGGATACGCGTATTTTATATTGGATTATTACTCGAACTCTCTCTCCTTAAAATAGTAAAATAGGGATATGACATGCCAAATCAAAAACAAAAGGCGCTTCCACAACCAATTTTTATTTTATTATTCCCTACACCACACTATGAAGCAAAGTATTATGACTTTGTGCATTTATTTGCAACAGACAAAATCAATCCCCACAGACCACTATTACCCTTGATAAGCTACATAGAATCACATTTCAAGTCGACTTATGAATATCCGTGCGCATAGCATTTATTCTGTAACAAACGATACAGATTAAGATATAGCTTCAACATATCAGTTTCATGGTAACAGGGTTGGGCATATTGCACTAAATTTGTAGTTCACTAAAAATGAAATAAATAAATAATAAATGGTTAGTGGTGGCGAAAAGTCAAAATTGCACTAATACTAACCATTTAGTGGTATTTAAGAAAAGTTGCACTACTCCTAAATTTCAGTGATAGTGAAATGTTAATAGCACTACCATGGTACAATGATATCAAGGTAGGACTATGATACCATATGATTTTAATTTTTTTATTTTCTTGGCTTAATATGTTTTCTTTATTTGTTTATGTATGTGTTTTCTTTTCAATAACAAAAAGTTTGTTCAGCAAATATTCAAATTCGGGTGTTTTCAAAATGTTTATTTCAACGTATGCATCGACAAAATCTAGAGTTTTTGTAACGACATAATCGTTTAGAGATATATAGTACATGATTTTGAAAAGAAGTGTTGACTTTTCATTCAGTTATCGCGTTTTTCCATTATTTATTCGAAATAAATGCAACAAGTTGTTTGATTTTTTTATTGTTTTGATACTAATTCTGACATTACAAGCCAAACAGGTAGACCTCTATACTTGCAATTTTTTCAAAGTTGACCTACCTTCTCTTCATTGTACCATGAGCACTACCACTAAGTTTAGTTTGAGAAAAAAAAAAACAAATTATAATAAAATGTGTCCATCGCACTTGCATCTGAATTGGATGTCGATAGATGTCGAACCCATCCAGTCTTCGCTTACAATGTCGGTAGATTTCGGACCCATTCGCTTACATTGTCGGTACATTTCGGACTCGTCTGACGGCCTAGGCCATCGCTGTGTAAATGTAAGTAAATGTAAGTCTACCTGTCAAAACTGTCAAACCAATTTTGAAATTGAAAATGTTGAATGAAAAATTATTTAAATTTGTAAAAATTGTTAAAAAAAAACTCGAATTATAATAACCTCCGACTGACGTCGTAAAGAAAACATTTAAAAATCTACTCATATTTGGAAAAACATTTAATTTTTTGACATACAAATGCTCCCAAGCGTTGATGCATCTACCTGTATTCTTCTGCCATGCTTTGGATGAGTCGCACCTACATTGTCGGTGGTCTCTGTTGGAAGATGTATGTGCAAAAAATCCCGCTGGTGGGTTATTGCAATTTCTCTCTCTCTCTGTATGGGGAAAGTAAACAAATTCAAAAAATGTTGATAATGTTCACTGATAACAGATTGCTCTTACAAATTATTGGGTTATTGTTTAAATCTAATGTTGCAACTTTTTAGGTAATAATTTGAACATTTTAGTGTGGAACATGTCATCGGCTAGCTTTTTAGTAAAATGTTTATGTTGATTCATGTTTAATTTAGAATTATTAGAATGTAGAAGGAAATCCACAATAAACATAGAAATTTTGAAGGAAACGTACGTTTACACTTACCCAATCGTGTGGATTTAACTGTAAATTTCATTATATACATGTCAAATTGAAGCGACATTCAGTAGATTTTATTTGACATATACGCAATGGCGTTGAAGTCGTGGAAAAGGCGTTATGTTAGATATCAGCCTTATCTAGAGTGGGGCAGGCGCCACATGGTTCGAAATAGGCATACATTTCATATGTACAAAAATCGTACTAAATAAGGGAATAAAGTTTTATGGAAAGTTGTTCGGTCGGATGAGTGGTGTGCAAATCGTTTGGTTGTCTTGTTGATGGCAGTGATATTTCATTTGTTGATGTCAATAAGAGTGTTCGTTAAATCGATAATTTGTACAAATTTGTAAAACTCTTTACTGCAAGCTGTTCGTTTACTCAAAGATGCAATAAGTGAGGGCGAAATGAGAGAGACATTTCGGCATTTGAAAACTATTTTGGCAACAAAAATGTATTACTAATTTTTAATAAAAAAAAAATATTTAAAAACAAGTAAAACGTATCAAAATATTAAGTGTGCCTGGTTACCCTAAAATTTGTAACAATTGTTGTAAATTGTTACTGGAAGTAGTCTGTTAAAACAAAAGATCCTTAAAGAGAGCGATTTGAGAGAACATTTTTGACAGTTCTATCGTTGAGAGTTTGCAAATTCTTCTTGGACAAATATTTCCTGCAATCACCTGTAACTCTTCATCTTCTTCCGTGATTAATTGCTTTGTTTTGACAAATCTGCTGATTACTTGAAAGTTTCTGCAGGGATTCCGACTGTTTACTTTTTACAGCTTTCTTGTAAAAGAGAAGAAAGAAGTTGCTGGACAATTCCTGCAGGAAAAGCATGGTAGAAGAATACAGGTAGTCGCATCGACACAGCTGCTGGGACAATGAACTGTCAAACTGATTTTGAAATTGAAAATGTTAAATGAAAAATTATTGAAATTTGTGAAAAATGTAGAAAAATCCATTTTATAGCAACCACCGATCTGCGTCGTATAAGAAAACTTACAAAAATGTACTTATTTTGAAAAAATGGGTTCGAAATCTATCGACAACCGATTCAGATGCAAGTGCGATGGACACATTTTATTATATTTTGTTTTGTTCTTTAATTCTAATATGCATTTTGTTCCACAATGTAATAGCAATACGACTAATCTAAATCGGATGCATGTTGTATGCTATAAAACACTGTTATTTCATATTTTCCTATTGCCAAAATAGCATACATTTGGATGGATATTACATTGTAATGGCCAGCGGACTGCTGGGTAATGTTTTTATACCCTTCACCATACATAGTATGGAGGGTATATTAAGTTCGTCATTCCGTTTGTAACTCATCGAAATAATCATTTTAGACCCAACAAAGTATATATATTCTTGATCAGCGTAAAATTCTAAGACTAATTAACCCTGTCTGTCCGTCCGTCTGTTGTAATCACGCTACAAGCTAAACGAATTAAGATAGAAAGCTAAAATTTTTCCCAAATCTCTCTTTTGTCTGCAGGCAGGTCAAGTTCGAATATGGGCTATATCGGTCCACGACATCGTATAGCCCCCATATAACGGTACCCCCGATATCTGGTATTTTGATGATTTTAGCCACATTTTTCAATGGAATTGTATGAAAATCCACACAAGCAGTTCTCTGAGAGCACTTTATATAGGTCCACGATATCGTATATCTCCCATATACCGGTACCCTTTGATATTCGGTATTTTGATTATTTTAGCCACATTTTTTAATGGAATTGTCTAAAATTCTACACAAGGGGTTCCTTGTGAGCACTTTACCCCCTGAAAGGGAATTGTCTATATAGGTCCAAAATATCGTATAAACCCCATATAACAGTACCCCCCGATATTCGGTATTTTGATGATTTTAGCCACATTTTTCAACGGAATTGTCTGAAATTCTACACAAGGGGTTCTTTGTGAACACTTTACCCCATGATAGGGAGTTCTCTATATAGATCCATGATATCGTATATCCCCCATATAACGGTACCCCCCCGATATTCGGTATTTTGATGAATTTAGCCACATTTTTAAGAGGAATTGTCTTAAATTCTATACAAGGAGTTATTTATGAGTACTTTATCCCTAGGTTTGTCTATATAGGTACACAATATCGTTTATCCCCCATATATCGGCACCTTTCGAGATTTTAAAAGAATTTTTAATGGATTTTATTTTTATTTTTTGAAAATGTCCTAATTCGTTCCAAATGGTGGAGGGTATCCAAAGTTCGGCCCGGCCGAACTTATTGCTTTTTTACTTGTTAATAATTCCTTTGTAGTTTAATTATTCCATTTGTTGATGTCAATGCTGTTAAGAACTCTATTTCAGAAATTGGGGAATGACGAATTCCGAGGTTTTACAAGTTTTGTGATTTTTATACCCTCCACCATACATAGTATGGAGGGTATATTAAGTTCGTCATTCCGTTTGTAACTCATCGAAATAATCATTTTAGACCCAACAAAGTATATATATTCTTGATCAGCGTAAAATTCTAAGACGATTTAGCCCTGTCCGTCCGTCCGTCTCTTGTTATCACGCTACAGTCTAAACGAATTAAGATAGGAAGCTAAAATTTTGCACAGATCTCTCTTTTGTCTGCAGGCAGGTCAAGTTCGAAGATAGGCTACATCGGTCCACGATATCGATATTTTGATAACTTTACCCACATTTTTCAACGGAATTGTCTGAAAATCCACACAAGGAGTTCCTTGTGGGTACTTTATACCTCGGCAGAGAATTATCTATATAGGTCCACGATATCGTATAGCCCCCATATAACGGTACCTCCCGCTATTCGGTATTTTGACGATTTTAGCCACATTTTTCAATGGAAGTGTCTGAAATTCCACAGAAGGAGTCCCTTGTGAGTATTCTACCCTCTGAAAACGAATTGTCTATAAAGGTCCACGATATCGTATATCCCCCAATTAACTGTACCAACTGATATTCGGTGTTTCGATGATGTTAGCCACATTTTTCAACGGAATTGTCTGAAAATCCATACAAGGAGTTCCTTATGGGTACTTTATACCTCGGAAGAGAATTATCTATATCGGTCCACGATATCGTATATCCCCCACATAACTGTACCCTCCCCCCCCCTATATTCAGTATTTTGATGGTTTTACCCACATTTTTCAACGGAATTGTCTGAAAATCCACACAAGGAGTTCCATGGGGTCACTTTATCCCTCAGCACAGAATTATCTATATAGGTCCACGATATCGTATATCCCCCATATAACTGTACCCCCCCCCCCTATATTCAGTATTTTGATGATTTTACCCACATTTTTCAACGGAATTGTCTGAAAATCCACACAAGGAGTTGCTTGTGGGTTCTTTATATCTCAGCAGAGAATTCTCTGTATAGGTACACGATATTGTGTATCCCCCATATAACAGTATCCCCCGATATTCGGTATTTTGATGATTTTACCTACATTTTTCAACGGAATTATCTGAAAATCCACACAAGGAGTTCCTTGTGGGTAGTTTATACCTCGGCAGAGAATTATCTATATAGGTCCACGATATCGTATAGCCCCCATATAACGTTACCCTCGACATTCGGTATTTTGATGATTTTACGCACATTTTTCAACGGAAATTGTACACAAGGGGTTTTTTGTGAGCACTTTACCCCCCGACAGAGAATTCTTTATATAGGTTAATGATATCGTATAGCACATATATAACGGTACCCCCGATATTCGGCATATTGATGATTTTGGCCACACTTTCAAATCGTATTGTTTGAAAATCCACACACGGAGTTCTTTTTGAGCACTTTACCCCCTGAAAAGGAATTGTCTATATAGGTCCGTAATATCGTATATCCCCCATATAACGATACGCCCCGATATTCAGTAGTTTGATGATTTTAGCCACTTTTTCAAATGGAATTATCTGAAAATCCACACAAGGAGTTCCTTGTGAGTACTTTACATCCAGACATAGATTTGTCTCTTAATAGGTCCACAATATCATATATACCCCCATATATCGGCACCTTCCTATATTAGATATTGTAAAGATTTAAAATAAAATTTAATGGATTTTTTAATGAAAAATTATTGAAATTTGTAAAAATTTTTTGAAAAATGTATATTATAACAACCTCCTATTGGCGTCGTATAAAAAAGCATTTAAAAATATACATACTTTTGATAAAACATTTGACATTTTTTGACATATCAATGTTCTCAAGCGTTGATGCATCTACCTATATTCTTCTACCATGATTAATAAGCGAAAAATCGGTTATTGTTGTAAAAACAAGCAAAGATTTTTGTAGTGTCGTTAATTAAAGATCTTCTCGGGATTTTGGTGATAGTGGAACCAATACACAATTAAACAGGAATAAACCTTTAATCATGTTTACCGAATCTTTTTATTTTTACAGCACATCATATCATGTTTCAAAAATATTTTCTTGACAAACTGTATCTCAAGCCACTGCACATACGTCTTTACTTATTAAAGCACTCCAATTTAAAGAATTTGATGTAGTCAGCTGATTATATTATCACTTGAATACTTTTTGATTGCATTTTCATAGATGCACAATAAGATGGGTACTGATGAATAAAATTGGCTGTACCTTAGACTATGTTTAAAATTAACACTTCAATACTGCATTTTGCAACTCTTGATAACCATAATCGCTTCGTTTTCGAATAAGCCACCAAAAAATTGTTATAGGTAAAATGTTTCGTTTACGTTTGTGGGCTTTCTAAACTGAACACAATTTTGACATATCAATGTTTCCAACTTTTGATGCATCTACCTATATTCTTCTACCATGCATTATATCTATATATACATAAATTGGAGAGTGAAATTTGACAAGGTAAATTGCAGAAAATGCAGATAAGGATATGCTTATTTACATTTGTCATGATTATATCATAGTAAATTAAAAAAAGAGTTTGTACAAAAATTATTTGTTTTTCGTTTATGTCGACCCACATTAATTTTCACACGTACAACATTTATTTGCGCGGTGGCGATGCAAAACCACAGTAGTATCCAAAGTATCCAATACAGAGCAAATGATGCCCGCTTCAATAGCTGTACTTTTGGGAGCATTGTCTTTGTCTAGTCTGCATCATAATAACAACGGGAATGATAACACAACCTACTATAAGTTTCCCAAATTTTGGACCAATTCTGGACTTTGTCCTCTGGGCGATATAACTCATGAGAGTATTACCAATTACCTCCTTTCGGATGCGATGCGCGGAAATCTTTTACATTTGTCAGCACTACCACGAGGCGCATTGACACATTTGAGAATACACTGGTTATTGGAACTACTGCAATTTGAACAATTTACACAATCTGGTCTTCCCATTTTTGATTTTAATCATTTGGATGAGTTTTTGGTGGATTTGGATGCAATGAATATATATCCGGTGATCGAGTTCATGGGAAACTTTTCAAATTTATTTTTAAAAAATCCCACATACAACGACGTTTTATGGGAAGATGTAATCTATCAAGTTACCAAGCGTTATTTAAGTGAGTGCGCCGCATGTTCACAGCACTAACACAACAATTTTTAAATTTTTACATCATTTCAGATATGTTTGGAGCGAAAAAGGTTTTAAACTGGCGTTTTGAAACTTGGAATGAACCCGATGTTCTGACGTACAACAAATTGAATTTCTCCTTAGAAGGTGATCATTTTATTTGAAATTATATCCGTGAATTTAAATAGAACCATTTCCATAGACTATATGATATACGTCAATTCTACTAAACATGGATTAACGAGAGCTGGAGAAAGATCAAACAATAATCTACATATTCCATTGAGAGGGCCCGCAGGTCTATTTAAAAAGCGCCTACATCATCCCCTATGTTGGGGTATTTTAGAGCACTGCAATACGAACATGCATGATTGTCCTTTTGATATACTTACATTTCACAGGAAAGGCAGTGGATCTAATTCATCTATTATACTTGAGGAATCCGAGCGTTTGCTATCTGATATATACACAACATTTCCCCATATACAAGAGTTATTATTTTCGAATGAGTATGTACCAATTTAATTGACCTTTTTTAAAAGCATCAGATTTTGTCCAATTATAGTGAAGCAGATCCAGAAGCAGGTTGGTCAACGCCGCGTGATTACCAAGAAGATGTCAGATACGCCCTGGCTTTGGCAAATATTGTTCTTAACCACTGGGAAGCTAAATTGAATGGTAAAATATTTGCAAAATTTGAAGATTTAAGCAATGATAATGCTTTCATGAGTTATCATCCATTTGAGTTTTCCCAACGTACCCTACTTGCACATTTTCGTATGAATAACTCAGATCCCCCTCACTCACAATTTATACAAAAACCGGTTTATGCTGCTATGGGAATGTTGTCACGATTAGCAAATATGGCAGCAAGTCCAACGATAATCAAAACAAATATTGGATTACCATTAAATGTTCTAAAAACTACAGCTAATAAAGGTCAACCAATGTATTTTAGTTGGTTAATAGTCCCAGTATTCGAATCTGCATATGATGACGTTATTGTGGCCGAAAAATTCCATTTGTGTGCAAATGAAGTAATTGCATTTATTATTGAAGTTATCGATCAACAACATACAAACCCTGTCCAAATTTGGCGCTCCTTTAACAGCCCTTCCTATCCAAATGCAACAGTAAGAGAAGCAATGCGTTTTCATCAAACATTAAAAGTTCATGATGACGGAATTTTGACTACACGAGATATACACATTAAGCTAACTACTCTAGTATATCCCTGGGTGCTGCTCCTAAGAATTTGTTCAAATCTGAATAGCATACTTGATCCGCCACAAAATTTGCAAATATCTCGAGTAACACAAGGTGAAGTTCTTCTGACATGGGTCGAAGCAACGATCAAGAACGTTTCTGCGCAGTGTCTGAGAACGTATGAAATATGGTTTAGGCCGAATCAACGAGGTGCATGGTCATATATATCCCTTGGTTGGCATTTGCCATTTCCTTTGTTTCAGTATGCACCGCTACAGCAGAATGATAAGAATGTTAATGGTAAGCTTGGTGTGATTGAATAACAAATTAAACAGTGCAAAAATCTGATTTTTCTTTTTTATTTGTAGGCTTTTATAAAGTACGGAGCGTCGATATTTTCAACCGGACTAGTTCCTTTTCCGAAGAAGTGCAATACATTGAAATATAAAATATTTAGGCATTAATTAAATACATTATGTTTTACATAAATTACATGGTACAATAAAAAGGTATTGCCGATTATCAATATTTCACGAAACGTTCTCTGCATATCATACATAAAAGAAATCGACAGATATTGCCATAGATTTGAATAATTAAATAGATTTGAAGAAATATTTCAAACAAGTGAGAAGAACTTGCAGAATGTATTTTAAAATAGTTCAAAAACGGAAGCCTAATGGTTGTACTTTGTAGTTTTTACAAACCTGTTTCCCCTTCTTATTGTACCATGATAAATCACAATTTATATTTAATAATCAACTATTATATTACATTATTACTTTTTGCAATAAACATAAGAAACTTCAATAAAATCAGCGTTACATAAATTATTAAGGGATAGTAAACATAAATTAAAAAAAAACAATAATATTATTAACAAAGTGTCCACACGATTATGAGTCCAATACAAGCCACTTCTCATTTAGATGTTCCATTTGTTTGGTTAAAATAGGATTGCGAACTCGTACCTTGACTTCTAACTTACCGCCGACGACTTTTCGACCATCCATAAGCTGTAAGTTATACAATTGCCGATAAAGTTGAGTTTGAATAGGTTTGAAATTTTTTTTTTTTTTGTTTGGGAAACTTACATCAAACGTATCGTGGATATCACATTTTGTTTCCAGTGGCTGCAATTTTACGGTAACTGTTCCAATTAGAATGTCCGAACGTAGAAATCCTCTGAAACAACATAGGGGCAGTTTACGACTTAGTCCACAACAGATTAAACTGCATCTAACGCATATATAGTAAATAATTTTGATAGTTGTATCCATGGTTATATGTATGATATATTCGAGTTACACAATGGACGAGTGTGCACAAAACGTGCTTAATATTTTAAAATTGACAATACAAATTATGACTTGAAAATGACAATCGAGTTAAAGGACCCAATGTGCAGGAAAGACGAATCAATGAATACAATTATCGGTAAAACGGTTCTCTAACTAATACACAATTTATTTATTTCGTATCTGTCGGTAAGGCAAAAATTTTTTAAATTCCATTCCGGTATATTTGTGAGACATTTGTAAAAATATTAATAATACAATTTGAATTGTAAGGGGCTTATCAATGGATTTTGATTGCATAAAGGTTTATTGATATAATTTAATGAATGTTGCCTATATGCTCTTGACGATGTCTACATTATATTTCATAAAATTGTAAATATATTTTTGAAATTATTAATTTGTTTTTATTTTAAAAATATATTTGCTGATAACTATTAGAAAGCATACCACGATTACACACAAGACGTTTTTAACAAGAACATTGAATGCAAATTTTTCTCAAGCCTGTCCTTTGTTGGTACTGAATTTTTAAACTAATAATGATTTGTTTAGGGAATCTGTGGTATATATTATTACTCAATTTCATTTCAGGCTGCAGCCATCAAAAAAGTTGAAAAAGTCAACAGAAGTGCATAAGACCAAATACAGAGATTAGACAAATAAAAGCAAATGTCACAGGGGCAGTGGCAGCTGGGGAAAGCTATCAATGAATTAATTTGATGAAATGAATAAAAATTGCAAAGAAAAACTTTTTATACTATTACAAAACTTTCATAAGCTTATTCTTTATTACAATACTGAAGAAGTTTTTTTGTACGCTACGTCGAACTTTAGCTACCTCTGTTACCGTAGTGATGGAGAATATTTTTGTACAACACGGCAGGAATTATTTGAATTTGTTCAATACACAACGTATCGAATCAATATAAATTTGAATAATAAAAAATGGTTTAATATTCAACTTAATTCGTAAAATCTTAGTATTTGGTATTAACAAACATGTATTGCATTAACAAACAAAAATGCGTGAACAACGTGTCAAGTGCAAGTGCTTGTAAAACCTGTATACATCGGCACACAAATACTCAACATTCAACTTACCCTCGTGAATATACTTCAAATTTAACACTCTGTCGTTTGAATATTCGTTGAAATTGCCTATTCCCTCGCATGATTTCAATTTTAAAATGTTGATTGTACTCGGGACTGTCAGTGTCTTTTACCAAAGGAGTTTTCGTTTTATATGATTCGTCCTAGAAATAGGAAATTATACATAATATCAGGGTATTTCTCATATATGTGTACGCTTCTTATACTTACATTTAACAGTGGGAACTCCACTTTAACATATGTATCCACGTCTTTTGGATTAGGAACATTATAATTGAGACCGCGCACTACAACAATTTCAAGTTCGTTGTCCGTTAAATCGGTATTGCAATGAACTATATTAAAGCTCCTTTTTTCATAGTGGAATTTTGGTAAAGGAAACTTCTTCCTTTTCGAGTAGCGCACTAAGTCCAAATCTTTCTGAACAGTCAGAGCTAGATTCTCAAAGCGATTCATTCCGGCTATGTCTCCCATTGCCTTATGATGGTCTCTTGTATTTTTACACATCATTAACTGTTTGGCAAGTTGTTCTTCAATACGTATGCCTATATCGGATATATCATCATCGGGATCACATTCCTCCGAAGAAACAATTGCAAACGAAGCCTCTAGATTATCTCGTTGAGACGGTGGGACGGGCAGCTAAACGTATATCAAAATTAATATCTAAATATATGCACAATTTTTGTCACTTACTGTATTCAAATCTACTGGTAAACCACTACTGGCAGCATTTAGGAGGGCATCGAACCCTTTGTATATTTTGAGGTATTCCTTAGCCTGCTCAATTTCGCCTGCTTTCTTCGCTTCTAATGCCGCCATCTTAAATTCTTTCTGGCGTTCAATCAATATTTTCATTTGTTGTTCGGCTAAATTATTCTTGTGTTGATTTCCTGAAGTGCGTGTAGTCAGGTCATTTTGTTGTGGCGACTTCTTTCTTTCAGGCAAAGTGGGAGTTTCCTTCGGTGAAGTTGGAGATACCGAGGGATCTAATGGTACTGGAGCTGAAGGAGCAGATGCGGGAGCTACATTTTCCACTGGTAGAGGTCCAAATCCAGGTGGCACTGGTAATTCATCATACGGCACAGTTCTTCCATTCTTATATGCCTTAATAGCATCTTCGTACTGCTTGACTATTCTTCCGAATCGTCGTGCTTTGCTGGAATTTCCTTCAGCTTTTGCGGCTTCTTCCACTGATTTATATTTTTCTAATCTCTGTTGTAATGCTTCTAACATGTTGCCACTACTTGTAGGTGGCGTTGGTTCAACTGGTGTGACTTCAGGAATGGATGCTGGTTGAGGTTCGGCTGGTTGTTCTGCAGCTGATTGCATTTTCTCAAGGAATTCCTTGAACTGCTCTGGTGGAGGCGGCATATCGCTAAGATCTACTTCTTGTCCTTCTTCACACATTTTGATAACAACATCGAATTGCTTAACTACTTTAAGAAACTGCAATGCAGTAGCTGTGTCGCCAGTTCGTTTAGATTGAAGTGCCGCAGCTTTATATTCCTGTTGGCGTTGTCGCATATTTGGAATTAAAGGATTTGTGAGCTTAGCCTGTTCCTCTTTTGAGGTATCTTGTGACACAGCGACATCCGGTTCCGGAACTGGTGGAGCTTTCCTCACCGGAGCAATAGGAACTTCTTCCGTTACAGATGTACTCCCCTCAATTGCGTCTGCATTGTTTTCACTTTTAGATTTTACACTTACCTCAGGTGGTATGTCCTCCGCTTTAATATCTTTTCCTGCATTAGCCTGTTTCAAAAGATCGTTAAGAGCTTTCAAACCCCGTCCAAAACGTCTTGCTTTGGCACTTTCGCCAGAAGTCTTAGCATTCGATTCAGCTATTCTGTACATTTCTATGCGCTGCTTAATAATATCAACAGTGCTTAAAGTTGTAGTTGGTAAAAATAATTGTGGCTCGTCGGGATTCGAAATTACGCCTTGTTGTGTATTTTGATCGTTTCCAACGTCTTCATTGTCACCCTGTTCTGATTCAATGGGCTCAGCAATTTCGTGTAATTCACCGAGGAGGTCTGTATCATTATCTACGTCGTCGTCATCCTCACTATCAATATCCTTCAAACTGTCAGCTATCATTTTATCCAGATCACTAGGAGCAACCAAAGCAGCTTTAGGCTTGGCTCTAGCCTTCGGTTTGCCTCCTCCACCAGCTATCGCTGCTAACTCGGCTTCCAAGTCACTGTCATTCTCATTATCATCACCACCATCGAATCCCAAACTAGGATCAAAATCATCTGGTATGTCTGTTAGTCCGAACTATAATAGAAGAAAATGAGTCATCTTGGCATTGTTCGTCATAATTATATTTGCTTTGTCTAAACTATATATACCTGCGACAAGTTATGATTCCGTCTCTTTGGTACATCCGGTTTTTTTCGGGCAAACATTTTCTGCTTTTAATTTAATAATTTTAATTATGTTCTGAATTAAATTTATATACAATTATATTATATTCTGATATTCTGACGCATCAACAACTGCATCAACAATGAAGAGCGAATTATGAGAGCGTTGGAAACAAAAATGAAAAACGTCCCAACGAAAGGAATATGAAGGCCACAAAGGAATACCCGATAAAAAATAAACGAAAGCAAAGACTCGGGGTACTCTATTGTTTACGAATGAGACATGAGAAAATTGAACATCTTCACTAAAGAGCGCGGAACTAGTTGCTACCACGGTACAATGAAGACAAGGTAGGCCATGGTACAATGATATCAAAGTAGGGCTATGATACCATAGTTGTGTTCCAGAACCTGCAAATTAGTACTAATTAGCACTAATTCTGCTACAACGCGTTCCCGTACTCCAAAAACTAGCAAAACTTGCAGCTCTCTCGAGAAAAAAATGGCGCTGAGTGGTGCACATTTCTGCTTGTTTTAGCTACATGAATTTGGCCGAGCAGAAATGTGCATATTGTAAATTTGACATTTAATTGGCAGGGCTAACAAGGTTGAAAAATGTATGAAACATTTCAATAAAGAAAATGATCAACTTGAAAACTAAAGAAAAACTAATATTTGTCGTGCAAATAACAAAAAGAGAAAATATGGAGCAACTGATGTATTCACTTTTGGATGATTCCAGCAGTGAAGAGGACTGGCTGAATGAGGAATCAGATTATTAATTATTATTATAAATTATTAATTTTAACTTATCGTCTTCAATACTCATTTTTTAAATGTTGGCGCTCTTTTCAGTAAGGTTTCACCAGTCCGATTTAGGTTGTTTACTTTTGCAATTTCGAATTTTGACATTTTATCGCATTTCTGCTAATTTTCCGTTCCCTTATTTTTTGAGCAAACCTAAATGAGAATGACATTTCGAACTGTTCTCTCTTCTGCTAGTTTTACTACTAAAAAAGTACTGGAACAAAACTCATATTATTTAGTTTTTTTATTTTCTTGGCTTAATATGTCATCTTTATTTGTTTATGTATGTGTTTTCTTTTCAATAACAAAAAGATGTTCAGAAAACATTCAAATTCGGGTGTTTTCAAAATGTTTATTTCAACGTATGCATCGGCAAAATCTAGAGTTTTTGTAACGACATAATCGGTTAGAGATATATGGTACATGATTTTGAAAAGAAGTGTTGACTTTTCATTCAGTTATCGCATTTTTCAATTATTTATTCAAATCAAATGCAACAAGTTGTTTGATTTTTTATTGTTTTGATACTAATTCTGACATTACAAGCCAAAAGGTAGACCTCTATACTTGCAATTTTTTCAAAGTTGACCTACCTTCTCTTTATTGTACCATGGTTGCTACTATCGTTTGCCGAACTCGACTATGGACTTGGGTGAAAACCGAGTACTCGACTATTCATAGTCGATTGTTCGACTTATGGTATGTTCCCATTGCATTTTCAATCACGTTATTCGCTCTCAGAATTAGGTAACGTTCATACGGCAAATTTTTCTTTCTACTATGAATTTTGAAATATCATAATTTATTTATTTTTTTTTTTGATAAATGCTCTCACTAGTTAGGGATGGCATACATTTCATCGTAGTTCTGAGAGTGATTTAAATGTTCGCTCAGAAAATTTTGTGTGGGGAATTAAGTAGATATTTTATAATTAATGGTCGAACGATTGTAGAAAAATATAGTTAGTCGCATCAACACAGCTGCTGGGTAATGAACTGCCAAACAAATTTTTAAAATTGAAAATTTTCAATGAAAAATTATTCAAATTCGTTAAAATTTCTGAAAAATGCATATCATTACAACCTACGATTGGCGTCGTATAAGAAAACATATAAAAGTCGACTTATTTTGGAAAAATAATTTAAACTTTAGACATATCAATGTCCCCAACAGTTGATGCATCTACCTGTATTCTACTACCATGGGTCGTACAATGAGTCAAGAGCGAGTCACGTGCCATGTGAACACAGTGTTTCAATTGGGTAACAGGTAGATGCATCAACGCTTGGGAACATTAATATGTCAAAATTTGTAGAACGTTTTGTCAAAAATAAGTAGATTTTGGTATGTTTTCTTGTACGACGCATATAGATTTTTCAACAATTTTTACAAATTTCAATAATTTTTCATTCAACATTTTCAATTCCAAAATTGGTTTGACAGCTCAATGTCACAGCAGCTGTGTCTATGCGACTACCTGTATTCTTCTACCACGGTAACTCTCATTAATTACATGTGCTTAAATTGTGTCGACTGAGTATGTCGAACTCTGTTATGCACTAACTGAAGTACACAATTTGAATAATAAATGTCTAATTCATTTATTGACACATGCCTTCAAATCCAATTACATTCAAGAACTGCAAGAATGTAACAATTTTTATTAGTAGGAGATCCTTGCAGGCTCTGGAACAGAACTAATGTTATTTCTGGAGATACACTAATCACTTGTACATATCCCCCTTGGGAGTTGACGGGGTAGAAGTGCTATATATGTATATCCACAGGTTAAAAGCTATGTACCGCATTACTTGCTAGATTTTCAAAGGTAACATTTTCATGTATAAAATTAAAAACTAACCAACATTGTTCCCATTGGTAGGTCTTAGGGACTACTTTATTTTCATCGTTAACACACCGGCAGCATTGATATTTCTACCTATATTCTTCTACCATGACTACATCGAAACTGCCAACAGATGCATATGTACCAGCGAATGATCTCCGTCGTTTCAACCTTACAGATCCCAGAGTCAATAAATTGACAATGGAGTTCAACCAGTTGGTACAGGTGCATAAGAGAAAAAAATGTATAAACCATCCAAAGTGTTGCTACATTGCAACCGATATGAATTAACTGTGGGTATGTGTTAAATTCCTCTCGACCTCTTGAAAAAAGAACAGGCACGTGTAACGACGTAACGGTGACGGAGTTACCAACACAGTTTAAGAAATTCGAGTACCTCCTTAAAGTCCCTGATATCAATGCATGATACATAATAGTGATTTCAAACATCCTGTTTGCCAGGAACATTGACTATACTACAAAAAGAGAACTGTTTGCTCAAACTTTAGAATACCAATAGCCAAAAAAATGAAATTCAATAAGTTGTTTTCATTTATTTTACATCATTCCTCATTTTTTGTAAGCGAGTAAAAAAGCGCGAGTGATAAATGAAATGGACTATCTTCCAAAAATATGATAAAATTGTTTAATATTTCAATTCCATTGCAAAACTGCTTAAAATCTTTAATACGCGCCCCACAATGTTCTTTTCATAGTAGAAATCAATCAGGTGGTCTGTTCCAGAACTGCAAGAATGTAAAAGTCTTTACTACGATAAATAAAAAGGTAAGGTTTTACTTCGATTTTCCTTTTATGATATCGAAGAAAATTGCAAAACTCGTAGAATGGAAATCCGGTGGAGATTTTGTCTCGTTTTTTCGAAACACAGATTTTTATTTTTTTATTTAATTTTTCTTAATTAGTTTATAATAGATATTCCCCATTAAAAATCGGCGTTCCTTTCCCAGTTTGTATTTTTCTATAAGTGTTTTCCCGACTGTGAGTCGGAGATCCTTTCGATTAGCGTTTAATTCTAATTCGAGCATTCCATTTGTAAATCAAAACATTTTAATTGTAATTCGAGAATTTCATTGATATTAATTCAGCGACGAATTCGGGTACGGTTAAACTGACTATAGCCTGGCTATCATTTCATAATGCTTAGCAGAGAACTTGTTGCGACGTTGTATAGAAGAGACCGGCCAAGGGTTCCATGTTTCTGCCACGGCGATGTTTTGTTAATCTGTCGACTTAGAATTATACCGACTCTGGATGAAAGGAGTAGTTCTAATTAATTTTTTTTTATTTTATCGCTCTGGAAAAAATACTGAGTTGACCCAGCTAACTTGTACATGATTTTTTGTATTAGCCAAAAGTGGGCTATACAGGAAAGCGGAAAACAGACAAGTCGGAAAGTGCGTTTCGCACAAGTGTTGGTGCAAAAAAAGAAATGAAAAATTACCAAGAGAAGTAGTGATTGTGAAACTTGTCTTTTAGAGTCATCCTTTAAACCTGGTCGGTTGCCACCTGTAACATACAAGTCTCATAATGGAAGAAGTATCTTTGACGGAAACTGAAAGTCGCTATTATGGTGATTTGTTCTTGTGCTGTGATGAAGAAAAAACTGGCAAAATACCGATGCTAAAAGCATCCGAGTTGTTTCGTTCTGCTAATCTTTCTAGTGAAAAAATACTTGAGGTACAATTTTTTAACGTCATGTAAAAGTAGACAAAATAGCACTAAATACAACTTAAATTTCTAGATTATATCTTTAGCCGGTATTCCTGATACTGCCATACATGTTTCACGAGCCCAATTCTATTCTTGCCTGAAATTAATTGCCGCATATCAGGCATCACTGCAATTACGACAGGAATTGATAGCTGCCTCTGTTCAATTACCATTACCTCGGTTTAGTTGGAACGACACTGGCAGTAAGTTGGAAGTTAACAACCACCAACCACACCATCATGCAATTCCGCCACCACCAGTCACCGATCGACGCAACTCGTTGCAACGACGAACGGAGTGGACTGATGCCAACCCAATAGGGTCCCGACGCAATTCTTCATCAACCCATCAACATAAAAGCGATATCTGTGCTGCAAGCTCTGATTTGCAAAGTACCGACTCTGAGGTGGAACAGTGTGAATCTAGTTGTGGCGGAGAAGAGGGCATTGCAGGAAATATGCATTCTAAGGTAATAAACACTATAGGTGCTTAGTGAAATCAAAAACAAAGAGTAATTAAATCCATTAAAAGTGTTCCGATATTTTGAATGAACGTTCGTTACTTTCCCATCTGTCCTAACCGAGGGAAACCGCCTAGTGATTGCCATCATTCGCTTCATGATTCTATTTACAATTCAAGAAATGCATTTGTAACTGGAATTATTCCATTTGAAATTTGAAACAAATTTCAGTTTTTTTGCATTACAAATAAAATTATTTTAATTACAAATGGAATAATTCGAACTTTAAATATAGTTTAAAGAATTAAAATTGCGAATTGCAAATGTAATTTTAAATAACGATAGAAGTGTACTTCACATTTAAAAACTGTTATACAATTGCAATGTTGTCTTGTTGTTGAATAGTTGCTTAAAAGTTATAGAATAGGCCTAATAATCTCATTCTAAAGTCTACTATATATCAAGGTTACTAACTGATTCACTCATTAAATAATTGTCTGGCAAAATTCTGTTTAATAGATTTGATTTTATCTACTATATCTAAAAGGAACTTTAATTCTAATTGCTGAGTTTGAGAATATATTTGGTTCATTGGTTTATATAGTTATTTAAAAATGATACGTAACTATTTGGTGTGTTAAGTGACAATAAGCTGATTTTATTTTTATTTGTAAAATAAATTTTTTGACGTTTTATGTCGTGATTTTTGTATAAAAATAAGTTCGCATTTAGGCTCGTTGACTTGCCTCTGTTTGTAGGAGAGAGTGGTAAGAGGAGTGCAAATGAAAAAAATGCTGGTACTGGCAATTCTTTTTGTATTTTTATATACAGGAATGAAAATTAGACTTGCCGAGTATACTTGCGAAAAATGGTATTGTTCTCTTTTTAACTTGTATCTTGCATTTGTTGACAGAACGGCATAGCAACATCGACTCCAAGTTTCCTGGAACCGATTTTGTCGAACTATTCATTTTTTTCGAAACCCGTTATTTTATTTAGTAGTTACAATAACAGGTATAAATTAAATCTTTAAATATAAATATATTGTATTATGGGCTATTCTGCCACAAAAAAAAAAAAAAAATCCACGCCATATTTCACTTTGTCTTTATATCAATCGTTAATAAGAGATAAATTAGAATTACTAATAACTTATAGAACTACTTCGAAACGCAGTAAAGGGAATAGTAGGAACTGTATTAATATTACATGGTAGGATAAGTTTAAAAATTGTGTATTTTAAAATTTAATTTCCTTTAAAGCCCATTCAGGTTAAAATTATTAAGTTATAGGTGACATTTATCATTTTTTATTTTCTTTTTGTAAAATATATTTTGTGCTATCCAGTAAGAAATGTAATTGTCAATAAACTTTCAAAAGCTTATACACAACACAAGGCAATTCCACTATTGAAAAATGTTGTTGATAATTGAACAACCGCAATGTTTGTAATATGTTTATAGCGATTTCAAAGTCAATATTGCTGAAAACTTGGATCATATTCAATAACTTTTTAATCAATTCACTCATTGTTTATTTTTCAAAAATTTTCTTTGTCTGTTTTGTTTCATTTCATTTATTTCATACAATTCAATATAAATAAGCTAACATGGCCAAAATCTTAAAACAAAAAAAAAAAAAATAATAAAAATAAGAATAAAAGTTACTGAATCGACATACTCTTATAGAATAGCTATTTTGAAAATTTTTTTCCGATATCATGAAGGGAAAATTCGTTTATCGTGATAAAAATCTTTATATTCTTGTAATTCTGGAACAGACCCTATGTCGTTAAGTGAATTACTCAAAAAAAGAAGAAATAAAAATAAATAATAAGTCAATAAATAAATTTAAAAAAGAAAAATAACGACGGTCGCTAAAATTTATTCGCCGCGGATACGTGCATCCCTCAAATTTGAGGAAAATAATGCGCCAACTGTGTTCCGACTAAAGTCTGCCAAGTTGAGCCAAATCGATTCAGATATAACTTAAACTTACGTACTTATGTGTTTTTCATCCGATTTTATATTTAAGTTTTCTGAAAGACATAATGTGCAAACTACAGCAACTATATATAGAGCAAGAGGCCACATACAGTGGCCGTTAAATTTAGTGAAAATCGGATTCAGATTGAAATGTAACTTTCATATGTTAGTTTATCTAATTTCAAACTTAAAGCCATGGTACGACTTACTTCGCACAAATGCTCAATCTTTGAAATTTAAATTTTTTCAATGCAGATAAGCGACAAAAAATATCACATATATTGAATTTTTTCTTTATTTATTTATTAGCACCATCGTGGTGGTTCTCCAGAGGCATGGAGTACCAACAGTGACAGTCCAACTCCTACACCCACAAACACTGAAAGGCCATGGGCCAAGGAAACATTATGGCAAGGTTTATTGGGCGACGAACATCGCCAGCTTTTGGGTACCGAAGAAGAATCTTCCGACCGACATAGCAGTGATGACGACGATGAAGATGATAATGAAACAGATTTGGAAGCAGTTTATCAGATAACACCGGAACAACGTGAATACTATTTTAATCAATTTAAAGCAGTACATCATGATATCAATGGTCTGTTGTCGGGGCAAGCGGCCCGGTGAGTCATCATACAGTTGGTCGATTGTTGGTATTTTCTTATTTACTTTTATACTTTTCAGAGTATTTTTCGAGAAATCTCGAATTCCCGTTGAAGAATTGCGTCATATATGGCAGTTGTGCGATGTTACCCGAGACGGGGCTTTAAGTTTGGCAGAGTTTACAGCCGCAATGCATCTAGTTGTTCTACGTAGAAACAACATACCATTACCGGCCACATTACCGCAATGTTTGCATCCAACTGTTTTAAAGCGTACAACACTTGCCAATCACATGTTGAATCCAGAACCCGCAGAGGCCGATCTTCTGCATTTGGACGAAGACGAGGAAGACAATACCGATAATACCATTGTAGGAATGAACACTGGAATGAGTTTAACTGGAAATTCGACCAGTAGTGCACGGATGCTGAATGAGAACGCGGTTATGAACTTGAGCACTCTTTCAGCATCTTCACAGGTTTGTTTTTAGGACAACTCAATTGTTCTTATTATTATTGCTATATTTTACTTTACAGGCTAGTGCAAGTTCACGGCAAGTTGCTACTACAGCCACAAAAATCCTCATTCCCTTACTCCACCAACCATACCACCGCCGCCACCTGTTAAAAATCGAAGTATTTCAAATTCTCCAAAAGTGGATCAACCCACTGCTTCTCCTCCACTTAATGTTACAAGTTCAAAACCAAGCTATAGCACAAGTAAAGATAATTCGTTGTGGTCAACAACGGTGGGCAATGAAGACCATTCTCAATTTATTACGACAACGGTAAGATAAAGGAATCATGTAAATTTTATTTTATTTGCCAGGTGTTGCAAATCACTTTAAACAAATTATCTGTGTTTTACTTTAAAAAACCATTCTTCCGCAGGACACACAGCCAAGTCAGTGGACCAAATTTAATGAATCTCCTACATCAAACGTATCTAGTCCTGGTCCAAAACCTGTAAATTTTGATATGCAGCGCACAGCACAGGCTGTTGTCTCAGATCCACAAATATTGCATCCAGTGCCATTAAGAGTAACTCCCGTCGGTTAGTTATCTTCTATGATATTTCGCTGTTAAAAATGTTGATTTAATTTTGATTTAATGCAGGTGGCGTTGTAACAACTAATGCTACCGTTGCTCCCACAATTGACAAACTCAATCACGAACCATCGGCAGATAGCGTTCTTGCCGTGCGAGAATCAAGTCCAAAATCATCAATTTTCGCAACAAATAATACTTCACAACATCGTGATTCGCTGCAGAATAATGATTTAAGAGCCATACAGCGTCCGCAAGCTAAAAAAATTCCGCCAAAAAATATTGGCGCAATCCCTCCACCTCCCCAGAGGGAACCCGCAACGGTAGCTATTGCCGCTTCCAACATGGCTTCACATGCAGCCGAAACTAGTTCCTCAAGTGGAGTGAATATTCTTTCGACGTCGATGTTAATCAGTAAAAAAGACCCTCCGCCTTTGCCGCCACCTCGTCCACATCGACATGGCCGCAGCAGTAGTTTGGACCTGAATAAATTTAAAATAGGAACACCAAGTGGAACACAGCCGGAGGTAAAATACTGAAAGTATTGTAATGTAACATTTATTGTAAACTTTTTTCTGTTTCATGGTTTTGTTTTCAAACAAAATGAAGATTATGGCACAAGCTAGTTTTGACCTGCAAACGTCTACAGGTTTCGCAGATTTTGCACATTTTCCAGACGACAATCTAACAGCAAATGTTGTAAGTTCGACGCTTGCGAAATTAATATATTAACTTACCATCTTTTTAGACAATCTAAATTTCCGTTAAAAGTCCATTTGACTATTTCGAAACAAATAATTTGTTCAAATTTTTGACTAATTGATCTAAACCTTAATAATTTTTAATTCAATATTTTAACCTATAGTTGTAGATTAATTCAGCAGTATTTCAGTGATTCAACTCAATTGTTCCCTAAATTGAAGTCGAAATTCAATCAGAATTTGTTTAGTACATTTGAAAAGATTCATCGAATTTTCCAAAGGTTTTTTTCATATTTTACTGTTGGGGCAACCCACATTAACAATATGGCATCTCATGTTGCAACATCCTATACGGCAACGCCCATATAATAGGACGCCGTGCTACCGCCATTTTAGCTTGCTCAGTCTTGTTTTGTCTGTCACTCGAGTCTGACTCACTATATTGTAACTTCTTCATTCTTTTTAAATTAGTAGCTGTGAACGCTCATCATCCAATAAATCTATACACCTTTAGTATTAACAAACATTGGCTTTTATTTCAACCATAAAAGCACAACAAAAGTGGCGACGAGGATAGTGGAAATTGATCAATAATTGCACACACAACAATCCGCAAAAATGTCTCAAGACATAATTCTACAATTGTTAACAGAGCAACAAAAAGCAATGTCGCAACAAACGCAACTGCTAAAGCATATGGCTGATCTTCTTCAAGCACAAGGAGCACCAAATTCACCACACTCACCACAAACATCAAATTCATCCAAAGCAGCACTAATGGAATCACTAGCACAGTCAATGACAGCATTCGTATACGAGCCAGAGAGCGGTCTGATATTTCAAGCGTGGTACAACAGGTTTGTGCATGTTTTCGAAAAAGAAGCAAGCTCACTCGAAGAACATGACAAAGTGGCCTTGTTATGGAGAAAAATGTCGAACCAAGTACATGAAAGATTTGCCAACTACGTATTACCAGCAAAACCTGAAGACATGACTCTAAAGGATACAGTAGAGAAACTCAAGAAACTCTTTGGTAAAACAGAAACACAAGTCTCACAAAGATACAAATGCCTTCAGCTAGCAAAAGGCGACAGCGAAGATTTCAGAGAATACGCAAGCAGAGTAAACCTACAATGCGAACTATTCAAAATGAAAGAACTGAAAATCGACCAATTCAAATGTCTCATTTTCGTCTTAGGACTCAAGTCAGCAAAGGACAACGACATAAGACTTCGCTTACTAAAGGTACTGGATGATGAAAACACTACAATGAACCTAGATCAACTAGTAGACGAAACACAACGAATTCTAGATCTCAAATCGGACAACATTCTCATTGAACATCAATCAAAAATCGTCTGTTCACTCAACAAGCACGCAAAAGACTTTAAGAAGCACAAAACACCCAATTCACCCTGTTGGTATTGCGGAGACCTTCACTACGTCAAATTTTGTCCTTTCCAGAAACATAAATGCACAACATGCAATCAAGTGGGTCATAAAAATAACTTTTGCAACATCGCTAAGACTGGTAAGAATTTCAAATCATCGTCTGAAAACAACCAGAACGAATTCAAGAAATACAGCAATTCAAGGAAATCATTCAAAACTAAGGCAGTTTTCAAAACACACAACATTAACTTCCGCGACTTAAGGAAATACACAACTGTCCTAATTAACAACAATCCTGTAAAACTTCAAATTGATACTGCATCGGACATATCAATTGTATCTATCAACACATGGAAAGCTATAGGTAAGCCTGAAGCCTACGAAACTTTTGACAACGCTAGCGACGCAAACGCAAACTCAATCAAGCTCCTAGCAGAATTTCAATGTGACGTCACAATCGACAAAACATCGAAAACATTAAAATGTTATATAACAGATATAGAAAAACTCAATATCATGGGAATCGATTGGATTCAAGCATTCAATCTATGGCAGAAACCAATAACCTCATGGTGTCATCAAATAAACTTCGTTGATGAAATAGCAGAATTGAAAACGAATTATCAATCAGTTTTGATAACAGTACCCCAGGTCTGTGCAAAACAAAAGTCAACATACAATTATTGCCAAACACAAAAGAAATATTCGTTCCCAAACGACCAGTTCCTTTCGCAGCAAGAAAGGAAATTGAAACAGAACTCCTCAGATTAGAAAACGCAGGAATAATCACACCAAATCCCAATGCACCAGAAGGTAAGTCTCCAGCAGAATCCTTCATCGGAAGAAAAATGAGAACGGTCTTCGACGTTCTAAGGAAGCAACAATCGCCTGAGTATAACGTCAATCACAAATGGAACAGCAGTACAATACCAAACACGGTACCAAAACAGAGAGTTTAGCAACGGAGAATTGGTCTATGCCAGAAACTTCAAAGGAAACAAAAGTTACTGGACAACAGGCGAAATAGTCGAGCGTAAAGGGAAAGTCATTTACAACACTCTAATCGACGTTGGGGACAGGAAAATTCTAGTACGAGCTCATACTGATCAACTTCGACATAGAGAATCGGTAGAGTCAAGCAGTCAAGAACGACAAAAACTACCATTGGACGTACTACTTGAAGAATTCGAAATCGCTTTGCCTAACCATCAAGAACATTTTGCAACTCCAACAGGTTCACCAAACTGGACACCTCAAAGAATAACAAGTCGCAGACAACCAGTCGAACCTATTTCAAGATCACCTTCTCATCTTAAGGAGGGAGATGTTGGGGCAACCCACATTAACAATATGGCATCTCATGTTGCAACATCCTATACGGCAACGCCCATATAATAGGACGCCGTGCTACCGCCATTTTAGCTTGCTCAGTCTTGTTTTGTCTGTCACTCGAGTCTGACTCACTACATTGTAACTTCTACATTCTTTTTAAATTAGTAGCTGTGAACGCTCATCATCCAATAAATCTTTACACCTTTAGTATTAACAAACATTGGCTTTTATTTCAAACTATAAAAGTACAACATTTACTTACGCCAATTCTTCGGTTATTCAAATCTTAATTACTTTCCGATTATTTCTATGGAACATACATTACTTGCGAATTAATCTACACTTTAGAATTATCTAAGGCCCTTCTCGACACACACAACATATTCTTTAATAAATATCCATTATTAATTATTTTCCCTAACTACAGAATTCTGATCCACAACAAATGTATTCCTTGCCACCACAGTCGTCAACGACTGGTCGTGGTCTTCCATCTGCTGCGGTAGCATTACCCCCGACAAGGCTTTCACTTCAGTCTAATCAACGAGTTTCGGCTTTCGAAGTTTATCGTAAACCCAATACGCCACGCAATTCTCAGTCTCCAAAACCTGTGGCTGCTCCAAATTCGCAACAAGTCCCCCCTCCGATTCCACCGCCATTTGGGTCGGGTGGTGCCACAGCATTGACAACACTTCCCAATTCGGATTTGTATGAGAAGAGAGTAAATGCAATCAGCGAAACTCTACGACATGTGTCATTCAAACAGGAAAGCAACAACAATATGACTGATGTGTTGCGACACTTGCGCGAACAGAACAATCTTCTATTGCGACTTTGTAATGATCTCAGCGACGAATTACTTACTGTACAAACGCGCAAGGAAGAAATGAGACTACAGCTAGAAGCTTCAGCCTCACTGATATGTAATGATGGAGTAATTGGATTCCCGCCATCTGCAGCTGCTACAACCACAGCATCTAACTCAAACTTGGGAGCCCCAATGGGCCTATGTGTTCGTACAGGATCTTCAATCTCGGCACCTGTTACTGCGAATGTTACCGGTGGCTCAGGCAGCTCGGGCGTCCATTCTAATGTTTAGGCAGCTTCTATTGTTATCAACAAAGATACGATGTTATAATTTGTTAGATTCGATGTTGTTTGTTAATGAAAACCGATACAAAACGTATTTTAAAAAATAATACAATTATTTAAAAACTTATATGTATGTTTACAATAATAGACTACAAATTAAATGCAACACACACACGCAAACACCCATGTAGAAACATACATCCTTTTACATACACACTACATAATCAAGAAAACACATAACTTCAAAAGTCGTTGTCATCAAGGCTCCAAAGCCTACGCAAGTTAAAATAATAAACACATATAAATACTACATATACGTTGACATGCTGGGTCATCATCATAATTACCATCGGATAATGCTTGTATACGATACGTAGTATCACAAGCCGACAAGCAAACAGGCAAGCAGCAAAAAGAACTCTACCTACGTACATGTAAATGTATAAATTGTTATTTATTCATAATTATTTATTACTGTAATATTATAAACAACTAACAACTCATGCAAAACGAAAACCTAAAGATATCTCTAAAATCAACTCAATTTATGATCCATAACAAACACACGCGCGAAGTGAATATACATACAATCATAATCTTCTTTTTACAAAACCCATTGCGCTGGTATCTCATCTGTTATAATCTGTAAAACGAAGTAGGTGAACGGAAGAATTACATTGTATTTTTCTACTATAACAACAACCAATTCAGATTCCTTATTAATATATATATATATATTTTTAGTATGTTAAAACTACTTATTAACAATCACGAAACAAAAAACTGTCGACACACTGTATTAGGTGAATAGATCTATTCATTCCGGAAATGAAGATTTTTTTTTCAAATATCCACACTTTTGATTTTTTAACTACATAAATCGTAAATGTATTTTAATTTTTTTTATGTTATTTTAATGATAAAAAATAAAGTATGCAATTAAAAACAAACCCGATGTTGTGTCAATCTTCTCACATTAACGGTCCTATTTGAATAAAATTGCGTTTTCCCACTTTAAGTAAACGATTTGTAGTGTTACTCTATACGCCTTTTGAAAGTTGCCGACAAAAAAAGGTAAAATGAGAACGCAACATTTTCGAATAAAGCAAAATAAAAGTAACCAAATTTAGCCCCAGCTGCTTGCCTATAAATTTCTTTAATTAACGAAATTTTAAGAAAATAAAAGTTTCAAGGACGCTATTAACAACCAGGCTTCATTCTGAACGTCGCATTTTCCATAAATCTGGAAAAGCCAGTTGCCAAGAATTCAGAGAATACACCAATCGTCACTTCAGAGAACTGCCCAACCCATTTGATCTTATTAGCTAGCAAATAGATGTTTCCGAGACAAACAAAGCTGCAGCGGCTCGCTACATATATCTGCTGGTCGCATACCTATCGTAAGACCTTATTTCCTAATAAGAATGAGGGAACTGACTCTGAAAATAAATATGTTATTCGTCGTGCATGTGCGGAAAAGAAGCTAGAGCATGTAAAGCATTACAATATCAGTACCGGGTCAAGTTAATTATGAGCAACGGCTATGTCACTCTTGAACCCTTGAAAAACGGATGATCTCATTTGATTTTAACCGCGAGAGACAGGTCAAGGAAGAATTCTACGTAACGTACGATCTCTGAGCCGATGAGATACCATCATAATTTACGATGGAAGATGTTGCACATATCCTCAAATTCCAATCGCTTGGTACTGACGGCATTGAGATTTTCAGATACGCAGATGATTGTACGCCCATGGCGGGACATCTGCGAGGTACATAAAACAGGCATTTTGACGCGGTCACAGACGTTATAAAGTAATACAGAGTAAATACTGTCTGAGTGGTGTAGCCGACTCAATTCGTATTTGGCTCGAATTGCCAGTAATGCGTAGCTCACTTGCCCAACGTGTGGTTCTTACATACCTCCAGTCTCGATATGGACACAGGTAATGCAGGTCTCTTTATTTTTGAACTTGGAGGTAGAAGCTGAGCCCTATTAGGTATTAAATTTTTTCACATTTCGACATTTCCGCATTTAATTCATCTATTTCTTTTCATTTATCTCTCTTTTTTCTCGAGGATTGGTCCTCGGATTTATTTTGTTATCAAATGTTTCTAATGAATTTGGTCTAATTGGCGTTGTTTCATTTGGTATTGTTAACGTGTAGACATTATTTTACGAGCCCAACGCTGGGAACTCCCACACCCTGAAGTTTTATAGCTGGGTAATCAGGTACATTTCTTAGCCTAACATAAAATATAGACAATATCAATAATTTCTAAAAATAATTAAATACAAAAGGCAAGTAAATGGAAACATGAATTTCCCTGTCTGTCTTTGGTGTGGAAATTAAGTAGATGCTTGCCCAGTAGTTCGAACAGTTTCAAGTTCGTACATATTATTACCTATTGGCATGACAATCCTACATTTCAGAAACTTGTTGCAGAATTTTGCATTAATATTATTTTTGAAATCCGACAGAACATGATTTCTCCTAAAGACTTCTTTTCCTGGTAGAATTTTCACCTGGCGTGCTCGCTGGTTATTTCTTTTGGCGCTGGTTTCATATGTCTGATGTATGTTGTTCTGTATCTGCTCGTGCATAATTTTTAGCTGATCATTTTTGTTAAGCTGCTCAATTTGGTGGTCAGTTGGGATTTTTATCTTTTAGCCTGTTTATAATCTGCCAAATAGGGCGATGAATGAGTTTGTACCAGTAGCAGAGTGTTCTCAATACTTGTTCGATTCCTCGTAAAAATAAACCGCAATCCCGGTTGTGACTTTCAACATTGTTCAAATTGCTGCCAGTACGGATTGGTTTACACACTCAGTATTTATAATTTTTGACCAAAATTATGAAAGATTTAATTTCTAAACACAGTTCCACGTTCTGAGCCATTGCCACCTCCATAGCGTGCAAAAATATAAATTTGGTGAACTGACCCACCACAATAAAGGTGTATGTGTTACCTTTTTTGACCGCGGACACTTTCCAAGAAAGTCCACATACAAGTTTTGGAAGGGTCGTTCAGTGATCAATTTCCAAAGGTAGGATTTAGATGTTGGTTTCAGGACTTTGTTTCTTTACAAATGTCGCAGTTTTTCACGTACTATCTCACTTGACCATTTTAGGCCAGTAGTGCCAGGTTCTTAATCGGTCTAGGGTTTTGTTGATGCCTTCATGTATTTTTAAAATTGTGTGCTCTTCTGCAATTCCATTCGAATTCAAACAAATTTCGATCCGTATTGGGCATTCTTTTATAAATTTTATTATCTTCGACTTTCAAATCTGCAATGCTACTTTATTTTCGAGTATACTGTCCCGAAGCTGTATATAGTCCTCGTTCTCAAAAGCTGTTGTTTCGAAGTCAAGTAAATCATTCTCAATATCCATTAACCATATCGGAGTCGACAGGAATTTGTGAATGATTGTCCGCCACTACGTTTTTTTAACCTTTTTTCATGTTCGATAGTCATTAGCCACTTAAGGCTGGCCTAGTCAGTTATGATGGTAAACTTCATAAGCTCTATATATGGTCGGAATCTTTCCACCACTAACACCGCTGCTAAGCATTCCCTTTCTGTTACTGTATAGTTTCTTTGGAAGTTGTTTAATTTTTGAGAATGTTTTTTGAAATTTTAAAAGTCAGGGTCTGTTTGAGTTTTCTAAAGGATTCGATGGCCATCGGAGTCATCGTGAATTTTTGACCTTTCTTAAAGGTATTTTCTAGTGAAGCCGATGTAGAGGCAAAATCCCTAATGAACCATCCGGCCGTGCTGATGAAGCTGCGAACTTCTCTTGGTGACTTCGATACGGGGATTTTTAATATGGTTTTGATATTCTCTGTCGGGTTTTAGGCAGCCATTCCCAATAATAAACCCAAGATACCTCAATTCTCAGAAGAGCGATTTCTTAAGGTCTATTTTTAGGTTTCCCTTTTGTAAACATTCGGATAATTCCTTCAATAATTTAATGTGATTCTCGAAATCGTCAGCTATGATCAATAAGTCGTCCAGATAGACGAAGACGTTTGACTTCAATCTCCCTGGTATCAACTTATCCATGAGCCGGCAGAAACCCGCATTACATAGACCAAACGGCATAACCCGAAATTGGTACAGCGGTCGACCTGGCACCGTGAATGCGATGAGTGGATTTGCTATTTGCCAGAAGTCATAATGGATTGGGTCTATGCGGCTCAGGATACCATCTTTGATTGTCAACGCGTTCAACTTTCGCACAACCAAGCAGAATCGATTTTTGACTGGTTTCCGAACCACACTAGTGCGGTTACTCCACGCCGAATCGCATTCTTCTATGACGTTGAGTGCTAACATGTGAGAGGGGATAGTGCTTATCTTTGGTTGTATTAGCCCTATCTACCAATTTTATGAGGTGTATTTCCAGCTTTGTGCACCCAATCCACTCTCTTCGAAAGTCGGAAAGCTCTTTATGACCTCGTTTAGTTCTATTTCCAGATCCTCGGTTAGTTTATGCCTCTTGGGATTTGTTTTTTTCGTCATCATCATGTAGTTATCTTTGCAAATTTGCACCAATTTGTTCAATTGGAAAAATGTTTGGAGCTGTTTTAAACAGTTCCCAAAAGTCTACTTCAAGATATAAGTCTTGTTCCAAATCGGGGCATTGAAAATGGAGGTGGGGATAGGGTCAGAATACAACCCTTTTGTTTTTGGAAATGATCGCAAAATATTTAGGGTTTAAAATGGACCAAAAACTGAAAAATTTCCTGATTTTGCAGTTGCTCTACAGGTCACAATTATAGACCAATCGACGCGGAAGTTAGCATGTGGCTAGAGCTTTGGGCTGGGCAGAAGCCTTCCAATTCGGATGGTCATCGCGTAATATTTAGCGGGTGAAATACACCATAACATTTGTGGTAAATAAAATTCAAATTTTCCATTAAACAGCGAATATTTTTAATCCCGGCGAAATCACAAATAGACGAACAGGTCACGTAGATGCCGATAGTAAATATATCAGATATATATAGCGAAATATATACAGGGGGATGTCAACTAGAATGCTTATATCTCAAGGATGGCCAGTCCGATTTTGACATATTTTGTAAATCCAGAATGCCATCTTGGCATAAAAGAATAAAATATGAAAAAATCGAATAAAAAGATGTCAATAATTATGCTAATATATATTTTGTAGTATTTTGTGACATTTTTTTCATTTTTTTATCGCATGCGATTTTTTCAATTTGACTTATAATATTGAAGTGAACATTTTGTAATATTTTTTCACCTTACAACACAGGTTGGGATAACTATATACAGATTGCAATTATCGTCGTTAGGCTCCCTTCTGAGCCTAACTATTGTTTTCAAAGATGTCCGCAATATATTTAGGGGTTGAGATGGACCAAAAACTAAATGTATTCCTTAATTTTGCTGCCGCTATAAAGGCCACACATAGAAACCAAAGGACACGAAATCTCGCATGAAGTTAGATTTAAGCATGGTACAACGAAGAGAAGGTTGGTCAACTTTGAAAAATTGCAAGTATAGAGGTCTACCTGTTTGGCTTGTAATGTCAGAATTAGTATCAAAACAATAAAAAATCCAACAACTTGTTGCATTTATTTTGAATAAATAATTGAAAAACGCGATAACTGAAAGAAAAGTCAACACTTCTTTTCAAAATCATGTACTATATATCTCTAACCGATTATTCCGCTACAAAAACTCTAGATTTTGTCGATGCATACGTTGAAATAAACATTTTGAAAACACCCGAATTTGAATATTTTCTGAACATTTTTTTTGTTATTGAAAAGAAAATACATACATAAACAAATAAAGATGGCATATTAAGCCAAGAAAATAAAAAAATTAAAATCATATGGTATCATAGCCCTACCTTGATATCATTGTACAATGGATTTAAGGACAGTGGGTAGAATTGACCACTATTTTTGTGT